AAATCGGCTAGAAAATTTTCCAAATTTATCCATACAGATGTCGAGTAGCGAGAAGTCGAACATCTGCACGCGGAGATAGCCGGCATCGGTGCGGTGGCGCTTGGCTCGCAGTTCGCAGTTAATATAATAACGTGTTTACTTGCATAATAGCATTTACGCGTGCAGTAGAACGTAGTAGTAGTAGTGGCGACGGTGGTGGCGGACTGCGTGACTCTTATACACGATGGCTCTCGTGGCGGCGCGCATACGAGCGACTTTACTAATACCAGCGGCTCGCTCGACGCGATAATCTAAATTTAACTGCCAAGTCGAAGCAGCGACGCAGTTGTATAGCACAGCACGCGGCTCTCTACGCACATAGTCGGCTCGCGCGCGAACAACCTCTTGCCTATAATAGTATAGCCGCAGTGTACTCCGTTTGCCTCGCGCGTTCGCCCGTTATTAAGCCGAGTCTCATTCACTCTTCGTCGATGATTATAATAATTCGAAGGCGCTCGGGACGTTGACCCGCGGCGCGATGAGCCGTCCCGAACGCCTTCGAAAATACGTTATACTATTATGTGTACAATTGGAGTACAGGTCGCCGGTACTTTCGCGCTCCGTTCGATCGACGCTACACGATCGCACGAGCGTATTTTAGAAATTCGCTGCAGCCAAAGCACATTAGCCTATATATGGCTTTTTTCTCCATCTCTCGGCGCCTCTTCGTTAGCGCACGCGAATGCACCGTCGGGCTCGACGTTTATATCGGCTATTATTGCTCGACTCGATCTGGATCCGCAGCAGCTACGATCGACTTTGTCGTATACAATATTTTATAACGTATATATTATAAAGTCTTGCACCCGAGAGACCTTTACGATCGCGCGAGCTGCATTTCGAATGATCATTAGGACGAATCGCGAATGATCGACTCGTGCCTCGTAATTCGCCGACCAATATAATCTTCGACTTTATTACTTTTGGAAAGTAGCACGAAATCGGATCGTTCTACATAAAATTAATTTGCCTCGCGACCGCAGCGCCGTAATAAGCTCGGCTGCGTGCACTTCGATATACGTACAGAACATTATAATACGATCGGAGCTCGATTTTCTAAACGTCTCGTTGGCTTATTATTTATTTGCGCGCGTTTTCGGCTCGCTGCGCGGAAAACGGCTCGATTATGTATCGCTCGACTCGTATATGCACCGCAGCAGCGAGATCGCGGCAATTTGGCCAAACGAGATTTGATCGATCAGTTGGAGCAAAAAAAGGTATAACGAGTACGAGCATCTGCTAGGCGAGCTATCTATGAATTTCCTTTTCGAGTGGCATGTATAAATGAGTAAAAAGTGACTCGTTGGGGAAAATATAGGCGCTCTTAGTGCATTCGAGCTGGCGCTTCTCGAGGATTCGCTCGAGCGCGCGAAAAGCCCACGATTAATGCACTCGCCGTTCAATCGGTTCGATCGGATTTAATAGCAGCTCGCAGCTCGAGGAGGCCGTGAAACGAATGTCCAGCCAAGTAAGGAAGGAAGCGAGCTGCGCCAGGAATATGAGGTATCCGCGGCCCGAGCGTAATAGCCGCGTCGATTAGCCGCTGGAGCGCGTCGCGCACTGTCATCAGCTTCTTCGGTGCGCTGCAGCGACGATCGATCGGCGACGCGGCGCATTATGCTAGCTCGGGCGCGCGCGGAAAAGAAAATGGGTGGAAATAGCACGACGATACGGGCGCGCATCGCGAGCAAAGAAGAAAAATCCGGACGGAGGCTCGTTATGGCTCGAGCTCCTCGACTCGATGATGGGCCATTAAGCTGCTGCCGCGCTAGTGCAGTTGTGCAGCGCGTTCGAGCCCAGCTCTTTCGACGTATAATCCGCACTCGCGTACGCTGCATCGGTAGCACAACGGCTCTAATTCGACTTTCTTCGGACGCGCGCGCTCGAGTACGGAACGTAATATAACGGACGTGACTCGGAGTCTCGGGCGATCGATTAATATTTCGTTTCTATATAGCTGGCATCGAATCCGGAAATAGGTGAACGCAGTGGCTAGTGGAGGAGCTTCGAGCAGATGTCGCGCTGCATCGAGGAAACAGGTGCCTTATCGATCCTCATTGTCAGGCGTGACTCCGCGACTCTCCGAGGAATCCGATTCCCGAGGCAAGCAGCCAGCCAGCGACACTACGTAATGCCTTACAAGCGTACACAATCGTGCAGCGATCCTCGCTCGGCAACAGCTATCTGTAACTCGAGCCGTACGCTAATGTTCGGATCGATTTGTTACATCGAGATCGACTCACCGATGCTCGAGTCCTTTTGGGCTTTCAGCGAAAATAGACGTATGGCTGTGTAGCGAGCTGCTCGGCTACCGCATGAAAGGGATGATTAATCGCGATCCGCGCCACACTTATACGAAGCTCGTCGATCGATTCTCGAGTCTGTATCGGTTCTATACATCGATGCCCCTATCGCGATCGAATCCATCCCCATCGAAACGCGGTGTCGTAAAGTTCAGCAGCTATGTCTGCGTGTGTGTGTGTAAGAGAAATAAAGGCGAGCTGTCGGCGCGAAAACGTGAGCAGCTCGCGCGCGCGGCTTCACGAGTTACTACAGGGCTCGAGCTTAACTGCATGAATGGGGAGAGGGAACAGCGGGCGGCAAGTCCTCGAAGCCTACGCTACATGTGGACGAGCGCGCGAGGGTGAACTCCAACATAAGGGATCAATACCTTAACAACGCGCCGCTCGACGCACATTTTCGACACGAAGAGCTCGCGCATAGACTATCTGCGATACGGAATGATTTGCGGAGCTTTTTTCAATCCGTATACTTTAATAATATACTGGTCGATCGAGTAACTGTTTATCTGCGGGTATACGAGCCAACCGTGGCAGGCTCGCGATCGGTCGCGATTCCAACGAGCAAAATAAAAGCCATCGTATCGCTCGGACTCGTATATATAAATTTAAAGCGCAACACAACAATGGGCTCCTCGTTGCGTGCCTATATACCATACTTATATAGTATGGTAGGCAAGCAGCCGCGCGGCAGCAATCCAATTTTCATCAAAGTCCATGAAATTACACGAGCTGCTCGCGCGCAATATAACTGCCCTGTCAGTGTTTATAATGCGCCTCGCACTCGTACACACACACATACATCGCGTACCGACGTTGCAGTGCAGTGCACGTGTATGAGCGCACATAAGAAAGTGCAGCACAGAGTAGATCGCTACCTAGCTTAAGGAAAATTAAGTAGAGCCTACGAACCGGATGACAATTTGAGCCAGAACGTATTATGACGGCTCTCTCGACTCGGCCATTGTTCTGCCTCTTCCTTCTGCGCGCGAGTTGCGCCGCGGCTGCCTATCTTGTAGCTAACTCGAGCGCGAGTATATATAGTGCTATAGGTAATAACAAAACTGCGCGCATGTGAACGCATACCGTAGCTTCTCTCTACTATATACACGTGCATTAAGCCGCGCGAGGATGTAATTCACGCAGGAGGACGGGGAGGAGTTTTATATACGCTAGGTATATATCGCTTCGTGTCGGGACGATTTGTGCAGCTTTTTTTTCTCGCGCGCCTTACAATATCCCCTTGCCTGCAGCAGCTTCTCTCCTAGGCCGCAATTAAAAGTCCGCATACCGGCCGATGGGAAGCCCTTTTTCCACGCGCGCCAACTCAAACGAGCCACATTTTTTCTTCTGTATGCCTGTGTACCACGTTGAGCTTCTGCCATTGCTAATCGGAAGTTTTTAAAGGTTCGTATTGCTCGAAACGAGACAAGTCCGCCGCGAGAATGTTGTACGCGCTGCGTAAATGCGTTTCAGAAAATTAATCGACCGATCGCGCGTTTATTATTTTTTTTTCTTATTCGCGCGGCCTGTTGAGCATACTCGCAGATACAATTGATTGAAATAAGACGAGAAAAATCAATCGTTCGAATCGCGCGTTAATAACGTTATTATATAAATGTCAAATTGTCAATGGCAATCGATTTAATCGCTCGGATACAAGTAAACGTGCTTCGATCCGCCAAAGAGATCGTCGACTTACATATTTTCATGGACTGCCGTTGAGTTGGAAAATGAAAAGGAGCGAGCGCAAGGATTATTTTCTTTCATTCGCCGAGATGTCACAATAACGAACGCGTCAGTCACGGGCATGCTGTACACAATAGAAATCCGAAAATCCCCTTCCAGTCGGCAGTTGCAGCGCACGGCGTTTGCAAAATATAATGAGAGACACGTGCCGTGGCGATGCTTTAAACATCGTGTACGCGAACGAGCTTACGTACGCTGAAAATTTATTGTAACGCGCGCGGGATTGTTGCATCGGCTCTTTAATAGCTCCAGCGTGACTCGGGCGAGCTAGAAGCAGCAGCAGCAGCTTCTTAATTCTGCTGCCTCGAGCTGACTACACCTTTTCATTTCCTTTGGATTTATGCACGGCCAGAAACAGACTTTGACTGCTCGAAAAGGCCCGTCTTGGTGCGCGTACTTATTGTTAGAATTTGAATGGACGTGCGGTTTGTCTTTTTTTTTCTCCTTAAAATGTGTGCATGTATCTGCATTTGTGTACCCACTCACTCGCACACATGCTCTACGTATATACATATATAGTGGCGAGCGAGCGTCGAGCGAATTGCTTTGTACTGTTATGATGCTTCGAGCTCGACCGTATGCAGTTCTTATGGTCTTGTCCGAGGATTTTTGACTCGCTTCGAGCAAGCCGAGACTTTTTCGCAGTGTTTCCGACTTACTCGGGCGAGTTTGAAAAAGACTCCGATCGAACGACTTGAATTTCGACTCGACTCCGAGTCCCGCATCCGAAAATGTTCGAGCGCATCGGGAAATGTGCTCCTTGGTAGTTTTCTTCGTTTGACGGAGAACAAGCGATTCATTAAGCACTAATAATTATGAAAAATAAAGCCGTTCATTTACTTCGTGACGATACATACATAGACTAAGATGTTGTAAAGAAAAAAACGTTGATGAGAATTTATTTCTTTGCAGATCCGTAGCGTAAAGCAGCAGCATCAGCATCGTCGTTGTGGGGGAAAAGGAGAGAGTAAGACTGGCGGAGCGGTATATAGACATTCGGTCCAGCTGAGAGAGATAGTGTGGATTCTGGCGGCAAGCGACGCGGAAGTGGCACGTTCCTTGCTCATCTCTGTGTTATATATATATTGTATCGGTGTTTGAATTAGTTATTTAAAGAGAGATAGAAAAAAGAGAGAGAAAAGAAGTGCGTGCGTGCCGCGCGTGAGAAATCGTTTCTCCAGAGTGAAGTGTCTCTCTGTGTGTAAAGCTTCGTTGTATACGTTATAAATCCGAGCCCAAGTCCATCGAGAGAAGATGCAGAGCAACGGCGGCAGCCTCGAGCACTCGGAGAACGGAGTCGAAAAGCCCGGATGGAACGTGAGTAGTACACCTATAGCCATTGAGCATCGTCTACTCGTCCTGCGCCACTGCTCCACATACGTAGCAATTTATATTATGTTGTAGCATACTCATTGCGAGCGAGTGCGCGATAACGGAAAATTATCTTCGGCCGATTATTACTATTTCACGAGCCGTCAGTTGGCTCGAGCGCGCGCAGTACTACTCGGTCGGGCAGTTTGCGCTTTCATGCGTGAACCGGCGCGCAACCAAAGAATGAAAAAAAAAAAAAAGAAGGAACTTGTACGCGTACGCGATTCGTGTCGTTGGCCTTTGCATCTCCGTAGTCGCGCTGTGTAATAAATCGGAGCTCTACGCCAATTGCGTACCACGACTCGCTGTTCGCTGCTCCTTTATAACAACGACATTATGAAGCGCGCCGATAAGCGATGCGACTTCGATTTGCGTCAGCGGCCTTTGAACGACTCGAAGCGTGCAAAGTCCTCCAACCGACGATCTTCCCGATGCTTTCGTATACATATTACTCTGCGTGATTTTTACATGTATGGGATGAGATCTACAACGCGACGGCTCTCGACTCAGACGTGTATACATTTTCAGCTTTGCTCTATAGAAGCTGAGTACACACACACGCCTACGAGTGCAGAGAGCTCTGTACCAGCTGCCTTATCGCAAGCAGCTTCGGCTCGATTTTGAGCACATACACACTCAGCTACGATATTCTTATTACACAGGCGCTCACAAGCTATCTATCTGCCCGAGTCCGAAATTCCTAGCGCTTTTAAATCTCGCCTTTTTTTGGTTCGCAGCGGATGTGTAACGTGTTATAAATGAATATAATGCGGAATTCCAAACGACTCGAGAGCGAGCGCGTATTATAAAGCGAAAACGAACGTGGAGCCGAGGACGCGTCTCGGTACTTGGCTCTCGTCCATCGCGCGCGAATCGAGCCGACTTTACCGAATTAGCGGCCGCCGTGCGTACCCGTAATATCCGATGCTCTCGCACTGACCTTGGTTTTATGTGCACCAAGCCGCCAATCTAGTCGATCGGTATGCAATTTATATACGTAATATATTTTGCAACGACGCTAATGAGTAAATCCTTACGCCAAGTGACAGATACAAACTGAAAAGTATTATCAAAAATGAATCGAATGCAACATTTTCGTGTCACTTACATGAACGCTATACGAATGAAGCAATAGAGCAGACTCGAAAAGTTCCTTTTCATCTCGCACACTTCGACACACGCGTATACTACAAGTCCTTCCTCTGCAAACAGATCGGTCTTATCAATGGCAAGTTCAAGTACCTGACGGCCGAGACTTTCGGCTTCAAGATCAACGCGAATGGAGCCAGCCTGAAGAAGAAACAGATGTGGACGCTCGAGGGCAACGAGCAGCAGGTCTATCTGCGCTCGCATCTCGATCGCTACTTGGCCGTCGATCAATTCGGCAATGTGACCTGCGAGGCCGAGGACCCCAGTGAGCCCGGCTGTGCCTTCCAGATTCAGCTCGCTGGCGATGGTACGCTTCCACTCTTTTTCTGTTTTTTCTTGTATATTTTCTGCTATTCAAATTTTTCACCGATACGAATAAAATTCATGACTTTTTTTACTGAAAAACTACGATGAAAAACTCGGGTCTTACGCTAAAAGCTCAATTAAAAGTTACTGATCGTGATCAGTCCGGTGTCAAAGCTTCACAGCTCGAGACTCCTGAATAAATACATTCATAGACTCGGCCTTCAAAGCTTACAAAGCGAGCTCAGATTCCTCTTTGATTATGACTAGCTTCTATAGAGATGTCCTCGTCGTGGTACAGAATTGTCGTCTTGAAAACTGTACAGTTAGCGCTCCTCTGCGCCCACCGATTTTCAAAATAACTTCACGTGGCTTTTTCATTATTGCAGGAAGTGGAAGATGGGCCTTGAAAAACAACCAACGTGGCTACTTCCTCGGCTCGAGCCAGGACGAGCTCAAGTGCACCGCCAAAGCGCCCGGCGATGCCGAGTACTGGCTCGTGCATCTCGCTGCCAGACCACAGGTGAGTTGGACTCTATAGATTGAGTTGATCTTAGAAAAGTGAAGCGAAGAAATTATCGACGAAGAAATTCGATTCTCGCATAAGAGGTGAACGACTCGATCGCTTTGCTTATAGGTGAACCTGCGCTCGGCCGGTCGCAAGCGCTTCGCTCACCTGAGCGCCAGCCAGGACGAGATCCACGTGGACGCGCCCGTGCCCTGGGGCGAGGACACCCTGTTCACCCTGGAGTTCCGCGCGCCGAGCAACGACAACGTGAGCGCCCGGGGCAAGTCCGAGGGCGGCAACTACGCCCTGCACACCTGCAACAACAAGTACCTGGCCCGGGACGGCAAGCTCCTCGAGAGCTGCACCCGCGACTGCATGTACGCGGCCGAGTTCCACGCGGGCATGCTCGCGCTCCGGGACATAAGCGGCGGCTACCTGGCGCCCATCGGCAGCAAGGCCGTGCTCAAGTCGCGCTCGACCACCGTGACGCGCGACGAGCTCTTCTCCCTCGAGGACTCGCTGCCTCAGGCCTCCTTCGTGGCGGCCCTCAATCAGCGCTACGTCTCCGTCAAGCAAGGTGACTTATTTTTCATTCATCATTTAACGACTCTACTAAATTTGCTTCTTTGCCCAAAATCCAACGCGAGAGAGCGATAAACTCCTGCGCTTCTCTCCCTTCTTCTCTTATCGCTCTTCCTGTTTGCGCTCGATATAGCACCACGCTCGCACAGCTGCTTACTTCAAAATCACGTCTGCCAACATTTCCTGACACTCGAACTTTTTTTTATTCAAACTCATCGATTTGGATTCAAATATTCACGCTTCGACGTTTTCCATAAATCGAAGATAAAAAAAATGCCGAGCGGTTGCTTTCCGCATTAATTATAAGCGCTTCAATGTGAAAAGTAGCATTTTTTAATTCAACGGCGCAAAAAGTCTCGGCGGCTCAAAACGTCGAATTCGTGACTGCACATTCTAATGCGGTACGATCGCAAAGCTTGGTTTTCTCATTCTCAGCTCGATTTCCGATGCAGCCGGAAGCGGCTAGCTCTTAAAAATTCACGAGACGCGCTCATGGCGTTTTTGCCACTCGCGATCGTTATCGAGAGCCGTTTGAAATAAAAAGGCGCTCTGTTGCAGGCGTCGACGTGACGGCCAACCAGGACGAGATCTCCGGCCACGAGACGTTCCAGCTGGAGTTCGACCGGACGACCCGGCGCTGGTACGTGCGCACCATGCAGGACCGCTACTGGTCGCTCGAGTCGGGCGGCGGCATCCAGGCGGCCGAGCACAAGCGATCTTCCAACTGCCTGTTCGACCTCTGCTGGCAGCCGGACGACGGCACGGTCGCGCTCCGGGCCAACAACGGCAAGTACCTGGCGACCAAGCGCTCGGGCCACCTCTACGCCAACGCCGACTCGGTCGAGGCGGCCGACAACGACGCCACCAAGTACTACTTCTACCTCATGAACCGGCCCGTGCTCGTGCTCAGGTGCGAGCAGGGCTTCGTCGGGCCCAAGAGCCAAGCCAGCCCCAAGCTCGAGTGCAACAAGGCCGGCTACGAGACGATCCGCGTGGAGCGCTGCGAGCGGGGCGTCGTGCGCTTCAAGGGCCAGAACGGCAAGTACTGGCACGCCGACTCCGAGAGCGTCACCGTCGACTCGGATCTGCCGGGCTGCGGCTTCTACCTGGAGCTGCGCGAGCCCTCGAGGCTCTGCATCAAGTCCACCGACGGCCGCTACCTCACGGCCGGCAAGAACGGGGCCCTGCGCCTTGGCGAGATCGACCACGCCACCGCGACCAAGTGGGAATTTTAACTCGCTCGCTCCCCGATCCGATCTCCTCCCGACTCGAGCTCCTCTCCTCGCGGACACGTGTGCGCTCTTGTCGCGCGCGGACCATCGTGTTCGTCGATCGATCGGCCGTTGCTCGCATTCTGCTCAACGTACTTAACAATAAATCAACTACACGATGTCTCCCGGGTTTCTTTCCTTTGTCCACTCACGGCCGCAGCGTCCGCTTTTTCACGAGTCCGATTCAAACCGAGGGAGAAGACGCTCCTCGTTCGTGTGACGCTGGCTAGCAACGAATCATCGATTCTCCATCAACTTGCTTGAGTTATGAATACATTTATAAATAATTTATATACATTTATATAATATATACCGCCAAGAGCGCGCGTGTAAATAATGATAATCATAAATATATAACGTTATAATGATAACGCAGCACGTGTACGTGCGCGGGCGGGCGCCGACAGCTCTTCGAATCGATCCATTCCAATTCGATAATACCTTCCTTTTTTTTTTTTACAAATAATATATAAACATATGAATTCTATATATTATTTACATGTGCATATACACGCATGCTTAAATACCAAATAGATTTTAATTTTTTGGTCGCTTTTTTAGATTGTACGCGTGGTTCAATATACCATTAAGTAAGTACACGACGAAAAAAGAAAAATGTTTTTACATACGTATACCGATCATTAAACTTGTGTACGTGAACGATTTTATACAAATGAGAAATTACGTATTTTGTGTACATATATAAATACTGTTTACTCTTTATCTCTTTTTTTTCTCTTTTATCCATCTGTTTTGCCGAGTATAATCCAAATTTGAATTTTGTTTCATTACACTTTTTTAATAATTAGTTTTTTATGCAGAAATTTGAGATAGTAACTTCGTTGAACGATTTTTTTATTTTGGCAAAGTGCAGTAACGTAGCTATATATTATAAATATATATCCATAGGCAAAATGTTTTTTATTAATTTTAGCAATATATGGTATAAGGATAATACTCTGTATTTCTTGCGCAAATGTCTCTTGTAAACTTGTTAATTTTTGCTGAAATGCGTTTTATAATAAAATTATACGAAGAAAAATATGTATTCTTTATCTAGTGAAAAGGATCATTATAATTTTTATTTTAAAGACATGTCAAACTTCTGTAAAAATAAATCATTTTTATGGAAAAGTCATTAATATTTCTTATATACATCCCATGCATTTGAAAATCCTAACAAATAATTAAATAATTTAACTACATGTTTCTTAAATGATTGTTTATCAATTATTTTTTACCAAAATAAACAATCAGACATTTAAATGTTATAATATTTACAATACAACAATTTATTTACAATCTTTCATTACTACTTACATTATAAAAACATTTATAAATTTTCTGACTCCATTTCATTTCTCTTCAACTCTCGTTTAACTGCCCTTTCTTCAAGCATTTGCCTAAATTCACCAAACATAAGTTCAATGCAAGGGTAGATGATAGGCAATAATTTCAGTTGTGACCAATTCACATACATGAAGTCAAAAGCTATTCCAATTCGACTAAAATCAATGTCGGCCTCCGGAAGCATTGGAATTTTACTATAACGCTGTGAGAAATGCGTCAGTAAAATAAAATCTGCTTCAGCTTGAACTCCTACGTTGACGGCTTCAGACATAGTAGAATGACGTTTGATCTTAGCTTCTTGTTCTAGACCATCTTCCATCGTCGCTTCATGAATTAATAAATTACTGTTTTTCGACAATTTTATGAATTCTTCCCATGGACGTGTGTCACCGCTAAAATCAAAATAATAAAAATAAATATACTGCAAAATAAAATGTTATTTTATTTCAAAATATTGAATGTTCATCGTACCTGTAAGATATTTTCAATCCATCCTTTGTTGTGATTGCGACGCCGTAAGCAGAAGGGCAATGTTTAACTTTACAAGTTTTCATATTTGATAGGCCCAATGCTTCATATAATTCGTTCACAATAGGTAAATCCAATTTTAATGGATTATCATGTAATAATTCATTATTTGATATCAATCTAAAACTGTTTAAAATTGGTTCAAATCTTCTATCATACAGCTTTAGATAAAATTTTATTTCTTCTGGTGCTACCAAAAATAGTCTCTCTTTAGTAAAACGTTCTCTCTGCTTCAATATTCCGATTAATCCTATATGATGGTCAGCATGTAAATGTGACACATAAATAGCCTAAAATAAACAATTTTTTTATACCATAAAAATCATAATTTCATTAAAAAGATTGATAGTTACCTTAATTGATTTGAATATGATTCCCGCTTTTTCATTTCCAAAAAAACGTATAATTTGTCCAGCTGTTCCTTCTCCACAATCTAAGATTATACTACAATTTTTATTTAATCGTAAAATCATTCCACTAGTATTTCTTACTTTATTTGGAATTGAAGAACCAGTCCCTAACATTAATAGTTTTGGGTATTCATTGTTTGGTTTTAAAAGGCCAGTTTCAGCTTGGATTTCTATTTTCATTTTTTCTAGAGATGATTCAAACCCTTCGATTGAAAATACCTCTTCTAGGTATTTGTTTTTATCAATTTCTACTTCTGTTGACTTAAATCCACTAAAAGGTCTTAAATGTATTGTGTTCAACGTTTTCATTTTTCTAATAGTCAGATCACTTTTTATCTGTAGAGAAAAAAAAATCAAATTAATTTAAAACTATAACATAATTCTTGAATAGTTAAAAATCTTACTTCATTCTCCACATTTTCTTGTTGTAATAACGGTTGATTACTGGAAAATGGAAATATAGAAGGATGTACTAAATGAAGTTGATGCTGCAGTTTATACATAGCTTCACTCGCATAATCTTGGTTGCCCTCATTAATTATTAAATGTTCAGTAGTAGGACCAAACTTATGCATCCACTCTTTATATTTTGGATGATTTATTACGCTATTGGGAGAAAAATGAATAACATAACTAGCAACTTCTTCCTTCTTTGATGCAGTGGCTTGCTGATATTTGAAGAAAGCTGAATTTTGAACAAAATTATCTATCCAGTTTTCATTTGGACATTCCGTAACTGAAAAAGAAAAATTTTTTGTAAAAACTTATCAAAAATAGAAAAATTCATATTTCTTTTCAATTTATTGTAGAGTTTGATTTAATGTACCTATGAACAGAGGACCTGGTTCTGATGGTGACACAACATCTATACTTCTAACGATGGTCCCATCTGGAAGCGTTACATCTTCACCTTTTTTTAATTTACCTAAAATTGGACCTGAAGGTACACCTTTAGCATCACACTTTTCTTTATTTAAAGATCCAACTTTTGGATGTATTTTACATACAAAAGTTATGACTGTATCAATCCTTTGTTTAAGTGATTCATTATGGTTTGAAGATTCTTGTGATGGAATATTTGAGCGGACAGATTTTTTGCCGCACATGTTTTCTTCATATTCATAATAATTTATCGTGGCAATAGGTCCATCATCTTCACTTTCACATAAAGTATCATTTATAGTATCAATTTCTGATACAGGACTTTTTATTTCTATATAAGACACACACATGGTTTGATCTTCAAAAGGATGTTCTTTGTTAGAAAAGTTCACTTTTAATGGATTTAAATTAACAAAATCTTTAGTAGCTTTAACAATATCACTTAAGCCATCCGAGCCATGCATTGTAATTTCGGGTACTCCTGTATCTTGAATAGTAAGATAAAAACCAAGTAATCCACCAATATTATTCCAAGAGGGCTTTGTCACAAATACATGCTCTATTTTAGTAAGTTTTGCTTTATACTCAGTTGCTAAGCGCTGAGTTCCTTCGCCACAATTAAAAAGATAACTTGTATGATCTGTGACAAGTAAAAGGGACCTATTTTCTGCTTGACTTCCATTACCTATAACCTAAAATTAATTATTAAAAAAATGTCATTAAGTTAATTTTAATAATTGATCTTTAAAAAAAAACAGAATTGTAATTATTGCTGAATAAAAGTTGGTTACCTGCAGATAAATTTGTGATGGAGCGATTTTCACAGCTGGGGCTTTCCTTTTACGTTGTTGTTTAAGGTCCATTGTTACTTTTTTCTTTATATTTCACAATTGCTATTCTAAAAACCTGATTGATCAGTTTGTACCATAAATATTAATCACTGATTAACGATAGTTAATAAAAAAATTGAAATGAAATTTTGAGTTCTAGCTAGAAAGGACACAAACGACAGGTATGAATTCGAAAACAATGCAACATAATACTTGTCTTAAGTTAACCTCACACTGCAGACGACGTAAACAAGGCACATGTGTCCGGCCTCCGCCGCTCCGCGTGGTCATTGGTCGCTGGCAGCGCAGGTGTCATGTGAGTGAATTAACACGGTGATTTGAATGACGGCTCGTGACTCGTGTTGACGTTGGAGGCGTTGGAAGCACAGTCATTTGTCAGATTTTATTTTACAGTTGCAGTTTGTCGGTTAAACTGTTAGAGGATTAAACATGTTTAGCGTTCAGAATCTTCTGTAAATTCAATGCGACCGTTTGAATTAACCTAATGTAAGTCTGATCATAGAATGACAGAGACAGTCGTCAGGAAGTTAAAAGCTTTATGGGCTGGCTGCATTGTTTTTACCAAGAGCTCTTTATCATTTAATCATTTGGAAAAATTATTTTGTGAAAATAAAACTAGGTGTTAAGCTTCACATAAAACTATTATTTACCCAACATATTTTGAATTAAACTAAACCCACCAGCATGCCTAAATATAAACAACGGTTAAATAATTGCACGAATAGCTGCACTGACAAAGTTTATATTACATCAACGCTTGATAGCAACAACGTGTAAATCGTGTTTGGAAATTTTAGCTTTCATGCAGTTCTCGGCATCTTCTTTAATCTTGATTGAAATTGAAAGATTCCACGTCAAAAAAACAAGTAGCACCGAGAAATCAATGTTTTAGAAGTGTCCTGGAGATACTTTGATAGTGTAATGACTATTTCGATTGGAAGTTATCATTAATAAGCACTTGGCATTTATTTTCAAACATGCGCAAGCCGACGTTATGGAAACTAATCAACGCAAGTGAAGGACGTGGTTTGTTTTTATTTCGATCAAAAAAGGATAAGACAATAATTTTTGAAAAATAGCATGACTCGGAATTTCAACAAAAACAAGTATGTACGTTAATTTATTAATTTTAATTGTAAAATAAATATTAAGTATAAAATAATATAAAGTAAGTGTTGAAACTAATATGACGTAAAAATTCATTTAGAATAAGTCTGTTATTTTGAAAATCTTATGCAATGAAAAATGTCTCTTAACTATCAACTGTCATGAAAATTGGTATATTTGGACTTATCGTAAGATGTCAATATCCTCCTTGCTGTAATACAAGAGTCTTACGTTTTAAAATAATAATAAATCTAATTAGCTCGAGCCTACTAAAATTATTCATAATTTGAATAGTAAAAAGAGATATTTAGATATGCATTCATATATATTTCTTAGATCAGCTATAGATTGTAGTGGTTCAAAGTGGAAAATAGCTTGGGTCGGATTGATCGTTAATAGATTGAATATAAAAATTGATTTGGTTTATTGGATGTATTATAAAATTGTTCAACACCTTGAATGTAAGAATATATTAAGATTATATATATTGTATTCAAATTAAAACAAATTTTTAAAATTAAGTATGAATTTATTGCTTTCAATTCATTGTACAAAATTATTTTACTTTGCTTTCTTGCTCTTGATCTTTCTCAAGTAAAATTCTAGCTCTTTACCTTCTAAAATGTAACCGTCAGAACGGCCACATTGTCCAGGCCTGCTAGCGATGCAAGCTAAAATTCTTCCAGTTGCAAACTGATCTTCAAGTGCTGGCTCAACTTTAGCAACACGTTGTCTAGCCTTGTATTTTGCCATACACTTCTTGGAACGCTTCTTGTTAAGAACTTCCTCCTCTGCTTCAGACTACAAAGAAAATTTTTAAGTTAGGATTTACATATTAGTATTAAATAAATTTGGCTCAATTGCAGGGATATAATGATTTCATTATAACTGATTATTAAAAATTAAATCTTACCAATTTAGCTCCTCGTTTACGTCCCAAAGGAAGTGCATAATGAGCTTCATACCACTGTCTGAATGGAGTGGCATCGATTAAGACAATGCAATTCTTCACAAGTGTCTTGGTTCTGACAAGCTCGTTATTGGATGCATTGTAAACAACATCTATGATGCGAGTCTTGCGTGCACGGCCTTCAGATCCCCAAGCAAAATTACCTGTGTCTAAACGGAGGGCACGGTATTTTTTATTGCCACCCCGGGTACGCACCTGGAACAAGAGATTAATTATTACTTCGAAACTTTAATTATCTTTAACCAAAACATTCAGAATATTAACTGGTTGGAAATAATAGATTAGAAGTGTCAGGAGAATATTATTGCAACTTGAAACTTACAGTATGTATACGCTGTGGACCAAGTTTGGTGTTTGCAGCAGGACGTCCTAATTCGAACTTCCTCTTCTTCCTTGGAGGCTCTCTTCTGCCTCCTGTAGCTCGGCGTTTATGCCAATGATCACGTGAGATACCTGAAGTATAAATTATTGCAGAGTTAATAATATAATACTGAAAACATAACCAAGTGACATAACCTAATTTGTTAAAAAGTTATTGATACTTATGGTAAATGGATTTTAATAAAGTAGATTTTAATTTCACCGAGTCACTTTTTAGCGATAGATGTTTTGAGAGATTTTGAACAAAATAAAGTAATATTTAAAAAATTTAATTTAAGAAAATGCGCACGTTGCCGGTTCGCACATTGCGTGGTTAGAACTTTACATCATTTAAAGTAATCGAAAATTGTATTTTATAAGTTGATCTTTTACAGTCGAGGCAGATTAAATTAGCAAAAATTTGTTAACTTATGATACACTGTATTATCAATATTTAAAAAAAAAATAATAATTTACGGACCCATGCTGTAAAGCTGATAATCTCATGTAAAAGAGAGAGGTCAGAGAAACACTTTGTCCGTCTAAGAGTTGTAATTGTGCAGAGCGCACTGCGCAGCTGCCTTTCGTGACTGTCGTTTCAGTGGATGGATCGTAACTGCGTTAGTGGCGCTAGATTTAAAAGTAACAACGATAATTGATTTTTAAGGTAGCATTTTCAAAGTAATTTCTATTAAAAAAGAATGGCCAGTAATTAAACTTGATGCACATTTCTCACTTTTTTTCGTTGTGTAAATTTCTCACAAGTACCGTTATGATCGCTTCAAACTTGTTTATGCAAAAAGTTCAGATATTTAATAACCATGTGGCTCGAAATTTTCATTGATCATAAGTTGGTGTTTTTATTTTAGTTAGGTGTTGTACTTTTTAAACTACCACCATAACGTTAAACGTTTTTTAAAAACCAAACTAATTTTTTATTTCAAAAATTAGGTATTGAGTTTATGAAAAAAAGTTTTAAAACACAAATATCTCAGATTAATTAAGAACACTCAAATTTTTTAGAATTTTAAAGACAGATTTTTCGAAAATTATCACTAAAAAAATTTGTTATGACCTTTTTCCTAAAATTAACAGCTTTAGAAAAAATAAGTTCAATTTAAAAAAAAAAATTCATAAGAAAATTTACTTCGAAAATTCTGTGAAAATTCCTTAAGATATTTCTACACTTATGATCACCTTCATATTTAGATTCTGGGTTTTTCAAAAATTGTCGAACTCGATTTTAGGAGATAAATTTTACCGACGAAAACGTTCTTAAAATTAATCAAAGAATACGTTAGAATTTGATCAGAATTTGATCAGAATTTGTTCAGAATTTTTCAGAATTTTTCCCTTCCAAAAGATTACAAAAAAATTTTGAAAAATCAAAAAAAAATTCCATTATATTCTTTGATAAACTCGAAGAACTTTTTCATCTAAAAAATTCTTTCCTGTCCTTTGTTTTTGAGTTAAAAATTCCGGAAGGATTTCAATTTTTTTGCGTTTCAGACACCACTTCGTGTGCTTAAAGTTTCATTTTACCAATTTGAATTGTCATAACTTTAAATTTAGGGTCCATGAATGCATAATTTGCACCTGTGACGTGAGATTATGAATGATTTCAAACTCAATTTGAAAATTTTTTTCAAAATCTCGTTTTTCTAGATAAAAATATCCATAACTCTTGACTATTCATTTTTCCGAAAATCTTACGTCAGATTCAATAAGTTCAATAAATTTTGTGATATTAAAGCTCATTCATATAATTTTCAGACCCTATTAGTACCGAAAATTCAACGGTTTAGAAAATTACCAAAAAAGTGTCCATTCCGGACTTAATGGTTTAAACGATCATACTTGTTCAATCTTTAACTCGAGCCCGAGTTCTAAAAAAAGGTAATAGGATTTCACGTCGAAATATGTACTCAAAGAGAAACTTACAGGAATTTCCTATGCGCGAAGAAGAAACTTTGTTGGCACTGAGATAAGCTCAGAGCGTTGCATGAAAGGAAAAGACAATGGATTTTTTTCTGCATGTTTCTTTTTGAGTATTTATGAAATTTTTTCACGCCCCAAAAAATGGATAAGAAAACCGAGACTAAAATTTCATTTTGAAGAAAACCACCTTCGGCTTTAAAATGGCATATGTTAGTTAAATACTGATGCCATGTTAAAAATGAACGATTTCCAGAGTATTTTTTGATATTGTCACTGAATTTCATACTTTTTGCATGAAATAAAATTGAATGTTTCAGAACAATGCGACTAATATTTCAAAACCACGTTTTTTAACAATAACTTTATATTTAATTAAAAGAAAAAAGAAAATGCAATGCACATGTGAATATTACCTTGCCTATTAATCAATTGAGATTTATCCAAGCAAATATTAAAATGGAAGTTTTTCAACCGCTGTATCTTGTAAAAAAAACACAGTAAACATGCTATGAAAAAAAACCTATATGTAAAATGCCGTGAAAAAACACACCTCATCGAAATTCCGTGAAGAAAATCACATCTCATTGAATCAATCGATCAATTGAATCACGTGTAAAAAATATCATGGTGTTTTAAATAGGCGTGCTTTTCTTCACGACATTTCGTTGAGGTGTGTCTTTTTTCGATGTGATGCATTTTCACAAGCACAAGCAAAACATACATTTTTCCAGATTTTCGTTGGATATTTAAAAAAAAATCTAAATGTAGGCATTCGTGTATTCTTTTTTTCGTAAAATGTGCAAACAGCAGGTGTGAAACAGAATTGGGATCTTAAAGAGCATGATGGTTGGAGACAAAAAAACCAATATATGTAATCGAATATATTATTAATTTGCCTCAATTTCTCGTAATTATGATTGATGCAACAAGTGGTCAAAAGTAGATATTTTGATCAATGCGAGTTCAATAGCTGATTAGTTATCAGATAAACAATTTCCTTCAATAGTACGCGAAAATTACCCTGAGACAAGTATACAAATACAATTTTTTATTGTTTACCGGATACATTGTGACACATTTTTCTCGCATGGTTAACAGAAAATAATTCTGGTAAAAATTGTCGAGTGTTATAAAAATATACATTTAATACGTATTTAATGTATAGATACATAATTACTTTTTTAAAAAAAATTAATTGTACTAGCTCTGCGGTACAAAAATAACACATTGGATATAAATGAATACAAATATTTAAATAGCACAGAAGCAATTGCTTTCGCAGAAAAATTTCGTGTAATATTTTAAATTGTAAGGAGAGTACGAACGTAAACATACATCCCGAATACTTGATAGCAACGATATAATAAGTCAGCATCGAATCAAAGCATCGAAGGATATACGTAAACATTGTATCGGTCGCGATACGAAGAGATGTATGCTCGTTACAGGTTGGGAGCTTAGAAATTTTATTTCGGCAAAGCGAACTGACACCAAAGTTTGTAGGCTGTGGTTTTAATTGCGTACGCATCATGCCACTGCTCATAACATACACAGTAATATTGGGGCTATTTGCTGTACCTAGAGCACATCTAATAATCTGTACATATTGAAATATCATACTGTAAAAATTTTGAATAGATAGCAACGCGGATGTCACGAATCATTTGATCTTCTGTCTCGAGATATTTTACGTTTATGTTAGAAAATGGATCAAAATCACGCTTCAATGTAATAAGCGTAAATAAAAATATGAACAAATTTTAAGAAGCCCATATATAACTGCTCAGAAGTTCCTTTACAGCAATTTAGACTAAAAATCGTGACATTTACGCTACTTATGATCTTTTGCTATGTAATATTGTTTTGAATATGTTTTCTCTGCACAACTTCAAGACACTTGATTCCATCAGTATTACTTGCGGAATATTTAAAGGTTTCAGAAAAAAGTAGTGAAATGGTTATACGGACTCGATTTAGTTATTCTCTCTTCGTCATTAGAATAGCTAGAAATAGAGTTTATACTATGAACTACCATTCCCTCGAAATTCATATTCTCGTAGTTAAGCATTTCCACGAGTTAATAATGTAGAGTTCTGTATACAGGATAGTTTGTTATACGTTTGATATATATGGTGGCCTTGAAAAAGGCCGATTGTTTTAATTGTGAGATGGTCAAGGCTAGATGTTTAGCCGCCGAAACCGTACAAGGTGCGGCCCTGCCTCTTGAGAGCGTATACTACGTCCATGGCTGTGACCGTCTTGCGCTTGGCATGCTCGGTGTAAGTGACGGCGTCACGGATGACGTTCTCAAGGAAGACCTTGAGTACACCACGAGTCTCTTCGTAGATCAAGCCAGAAATACGCTTGACTCCGCCACGACGGGCCAGACGGCGGATGGCAGGCTTGGTGATTCCCTGGATGTTATCACGCAACACCTTCCTGTGACGCTTTGCTCCTCCTTTTCCCAATCCTTTTCCTCCCTTTCCACGTCCAGTCATGATGAGAGATGCTTTGGGTTTACTGTTCGACGGAGAGCAACGAACTGATGCCGATGGGAGCCAAGCGAACGGTTTTATAGGGGGCCAAGCGGTGCGGCCCCCCCCTTCGGCCTACTGTCTACCGAGCTCCCCTCTGCCGAGCCAAGCTGCCCAGCCAAGCTACCGCACGAAATAGCGATATAAAAGAAGCGAATTGCAGCCGTTGCAGACACATATCGTTCGTATCGTTCTCACGAAGCGCATACACCGCATTCAGCTGTCGCTATGGCCCGTACCAAGCAAACCGCTCGCAAGTCCACCGGAGGCAAGGCTCCGCGCAAACAACTGGCCACCAAGGCCGCTCGCAAGAGTGCCCCAGCCACCGGCGGAGTCAAGAAGCCCCATCGCTACAGGCCCGGCACCGTCGCCCTTCGTGAAATCAGACGTTACCAGAAGAGCACTGAGCTTCTCATCCGCAAGCTGCCCTTCCAGCGTCTGGTTCGTGAAATCGCTCAAGATTTCAAGACTGACTTGCGTTTCCAGAGCTCGGCCGTCATGGCCCTGCAGGAAGCCAGCGAGGCCTACCTCGTCGGTCTCTTCGAAGATACGAACTTGTGCGCCATCCACGCCAAGCGTGTCACCATCATGCCCAAGGACATTCAGTTGGCCCGTCGTATTCGTGGAGAACGCGCTTAAGCTATATTATATCTAGATATACCAAATCAACAGTCCTTTTCAGGACTACATATATTTAAAACGAGGAAGCTAATTTATTTGTACTTGGTTTTATTCAACTTTTTTACTCAACCGAGAAGGTCAATAAAATTAGGGGCAAATTTTTAAGAGCTACTTGCCCAAAAAAGAGTAAACTTTCACGATGTAGATGTCAATGAAACTAATGTACACGAAGTCGAAAGTTCCATAAGCCTTGAGTAAAAGCCAATTTTCGAATTGAATTAAACTCAAATTGATTGACAATTTTTAGATGATAAGATATCAATTAGTCCATATATTTTTTACTTGGCAATATCCACCGCTCACACATCATAGTTATATATATATCACATATATTGTAGAACTTGTAGAAAGTTATTAACTTTGAATTTCAGTTTGGAAAGCTAGAAAAGCTATGTTTTTTTTTACATTTTTTGACGAACACAATCATCCTATAGAATGATTCTTTTTTAAGTTTTGTTGATCTATGTATTATATTTTGTGGAAATGAGTCGTTCGAGGAAGGCAGACATTTTTAAGTACACGAAAATAAAAATAGCTCTTTGAAAAATATTAATAATTTCAGAGGAAAATATTTTTCGCTTTTGATCTAGACTTTAAAAAAATATTAAAAACATCACAGTTAAGTAGTAACGTGTTTCATTTGCGTTTATTCTGATTGAGCTATAAGTAGCTTTAATTCTATGTAATTTTTAATTTTTTGATAACAAAAATATATAGAAGTTTTCTGAAAGCACTCGGTATTGGACATGATTTTTTAAATATATTGGCCTGTAAAAAGAAAAAAACGTCAAGCTTAAGATCATCACTCATCTTCAAAAAGTAATGGTCTTGATGCAATTACATGAGATCTGATAATTTCTTATTAAAACACTTTTTACTGACAAATTTAACAATTAAAATAAAATTATTTTTTATCCACGAGATAATGCGCACACATAAGCGCTATTGGTTATAAGTATTACAATTAAACGCTTAATAGCGTTATGATTTAACAATAATTTAATACAATGTTTATGGCCTTGAGGGAGATCCAACAACTTCTTCATAATAACGTGCAATGTTTTACGAGGAGCAAAAAACTGCAAGTTCCTCGGCTTTGGTAGACCATTTTTTGAATTTTAAAAACGTAAAATAGTGAAAAATTTGTCTTTAATTATAAAAATGAACAGGAAAAATCGGAGTAAAGGTTGAATTACATATTTTGTTGGGATTTTTTAGTACAATCAAATGGCGTTGTTACTTTCATTCTATAAATTTATTTTTAACTACAAATGACAATTTTTTGTCATCTATAAACCTCAAAGGACAATTTTTCTATGTTTTCCTATGAAAAAGTCAACAAGAGTCATTGCGTCGTTTAAAACGACCTCGTGTTGTAAAAATTACAATACCATTCGTTTCTACAGAAAAAATTCTAACAAAGTTCTCGTCAAAAGAATTGTTTGATTATTTAGTTTTTATGCATACAGCCAAAAGACACCTTTGATATTTTTAGTTTAAAAAAACCAAAATCGAGCAATTTCTGCTCTGAAAGTAATATTTTTTGACTAAACCAATGACGGTGTTCAATTATATGAAAAAAAATACCAACAAAGTGTGTAATTAAAACTTTTCTCCGATTTTTTCTGTTCATTTTTCCATCATTTATGGATGAATTATTCTTTAATTTACATTTTAAAAATGCTAAAAATGGCCATGTCAGCATTAGATTTCATAGAAAAAGTACAAAAATGTATTTAAAATCCCATTAGACCCTAACAGAAAAGTTGAAAACCTATTGAGCTACTTATCAGCCCCGATTTTTTAATATCGGAAAAAATTCGAAATTCATCGACACCTGTTAAAATCACTTTTCCAAATTTTTCAAAAAGAGAACTTATTTTTGAACTATAATTTTTTTAATTCCATTGGGTCCGCTGAGTTGCTATATACTTTATACTAATACAAACATAGTCAGAGATTATCGTTTAAATAATTACAATAAATAAACTGCCTCGGTTCTTTAAATTTTAAAAGTTTCAGATACAGGCATCCTTCGTTATATGCGGATAATTTTAGCTTATACACGTTTCAAGACGGTGGAAAAAATTTTTTCATGACCTTGTATGGCTTCAAAAACTCGTAAAATTTCCAAAATTCCAGTTAAAAAACAAGTTACGAATTTAGCTGAAAAATTGAAAATTCTAAGTTAACTTAGTGGAGGATTAAATTTTCATACAAATATATTTAATAAAAAACACTATTAACGTAACCGTGCTTTTTCTCTCGTTATCCGTGGCACTTTTTCGGAACGTAACCCCCGCGTATAAAGAGGGATCCGTGTAGTTCTAGTTATATAATTTTTGCTGTAAATAATTTTCATTTCAAGTTGAGTCAAAAGCCCAGTTAGAAGCCGTTAGAAAAGATATCACTTAAATGTCCATAAATTTTTTATAGTCATGTTGATGTTAATAATTAAAAATAAACGTATGAGAGAAAGAACCCAAGGAAAATATCTAATCGTCAACGAATTCTGATGTTTATGTAGCGAACAAATAGCATCACTATTCTGACACTTTTTCCCACTGCTCAAAAACATTTAGAATTTTTTATATAAATAACTGCTATATATAAGTATTTACCCGTGCATTGCGCGTCCTTAATTGTAAGTGGATTTTTTTTATCAATATTATGGTCAATGAATAGATATTCCTGTGTTGTATAATTTGTTGGCCCTGAGAAGGGCCGGTTGTTTGTCAAGTGTGTGGTAAAGAAATTTAAGCTTTCTTCTCAGTCTTTTTGGGCAGAAGTACGGCCTGGATGTTTGGCAGGACACCACCCTGGGCGATGGTGACTCCGGACAAGAGTTTGTTCAATTCTTCGTCATTGCGGATGGCCAGCTGGAGATGTCTGGGGATGATCCTGGTCTTCTTGTTGTCACGAGCGGCATTACCTGCCAACTCGAGGACCTCAGCGGCCAAGTATTCCATGACGGCAGCCAAGTAGACTGGAGCTCCAGCACCAACTCGCTCGGCGTAGTTGCCTTTGCGGAGCAGACGATGAATTCTGCCCACTGGGAATTGAAGTCCAGCGCGAGTCGAGCGGGTCTTTGACTTTCCCTTGGCTTTGCCGGCACCACCTTTTCCACGTCCAGACATAGTTGCGAGAGGTTGAGTAAAATTCGTACGTGTGACTGAGAGAAGGCACGAATGCGATTTGAAAGCCGAGAGGCGGTGTGAAGCTATTTATAGCGAAAATCAGATGGCGCGCGAACGAATAGGGGGGAAAAGCAGCTGAGTAGGAGTGGAGGGGGCTTAGCGCGTTACCGCGTCGCGCGCCGCACAGTTTTTTATATAAATTGAGTCGCCGAACTGCAGCCCGGCACATTCTTTCGTATTCACCGAATCCGTAAAGAGACTCCTCTGCAATGGCACCGAAAACCAGTGGTAAAGCCGTCAAGAAGTCTGGCAAAGCCCAGAAANACGAGTTAATAATGTAGAGTTCTGTATACAGGATAGTTTGTTATACGTTTGATATATATGGTGGCCTTGAAAAAGGCCGATTGTTTTAATTGTGAGATGGTCAAGGCTAGATGTTTAGCCGCCGAAACCGTACAAGGTGCGGCCCTGCCTCTTGAGAGCGTATACTACGTCCATGGCTGTGACCGTCTTGCGCTTGGCATGCTCGGTGTAAGTGACGGCGTCACGGATGACGTTCTCAAGGAAGACCTTGAGTACACCACGAGTCTCTTCGTAGATCAAGCCAGAAATACGCTTGACTCCGCCACGACGGGCCAGACGGCGGATGGCAGGCTTGGTGATTCCCTGGATGTTATCACGCAACACCTTCCTGTGACGCTTTGCTCCTCCTTTTCCCAATCCTTTTCCTCCCTTTCCACGTCCAGTCATGATGAGAGATGCTTTGGGTTTACTGTTCGACGGAGAGCAACGAACTGATGCCGATGGGAGCCAAGCGAACGGTTTTATAGGGGGCCAAGCGGTGCGGCCCCCCCCTTCGGCCTACTGTCTACCGAGCTCCCCTCTGCCGAGCCAAGCTGCCCAGCCAAGCTACCGCACGAAATAGCGATATAAAAGAAGCGAATTGCAGCCGTTGCAGACACATATCGTTCGTATCGTTCTCACGAAGCGCATACACCGCATTCAGCTGTCGCTATGGCCCGTACCAAGCAAACCGCTCGCAAGTCCACCGGAGGCAAGGCTCCGCGCAAACAACTGGCCACCAAGGCCGCTCGCAAGAGTGCCCCAGCCACCGGCGGAGTCAAGAAGCCCCATCGCTACAGGCCCGGCACCGTCGCCCTTCGTGAAATCAGACGTTACCAGAAGAGCACTGAGCTTCTCATCCGCAAACTGCCCTTCCAGCGTTTGGTTCGTGAAATCGCTCAAGATTTCAAGACTGACTTGCGTTTCCAGAGCTCGGCCGTCATGGCCCTGCAGGAAGCCAGCGAGGCCTACCTCGTCGGTCTCTTCGAAGATACGAACTTGTGCGCCATCCACGCCAAGCGTGTCACCATCATGCCCAAGGACATTCAGTTGGCCCGTCGTATTCGTGGAGAACGTGCTTAAGCTTCTACTCATAAAGATTTATCAAACCAACAGTCCTTTTCAGGACTACATATATATAAAACGAGGAAATTGATTTATTTGCACACGCATTATTCCAGTTTTTGCCATAAGAACTAATAACTCTACTACTTGATCTCATACTCAAAAAGCGTTACAACTAAATCTTGAAAAATTAATTATTGAGTATTTTTGCCGAAGCTTAAGCATTAAAATGTACTCAAAGTTGGCTCTACTTGATTTGAAAACAGCAGAACTTTGTTTTCATGCGAAAATACCATATTATTTTAACCCATTAACGACCAAACTGCTTGATTTTTTGTTGGTTTTCGCAGCAACTTTTTTTGTAGTTTGAGGCCTCCAAAAAGTTTCGTATGGACCTATATCGATGTAAAATTTAATACCCTTTAAGAAGATGAGCTCAAAATTTGTATTCTTTGCGCAATAAAAAAGTTATGGCTTCTTATACGAAAAAAAACGTAAAATTTTCTGCAAAAATCAAGTTTTTGATTTTTTTTTCACCGTGTTATCGTTAGGGAATCACGATATAAATATGATCAGGGGTGATCAAGACCATCAAAGTATCTCAGGGAATTTTTATGGAATTTTTGAACCACTACTTCAAACAAAAAATAACTTATATTCATATAAAACATAACTCATTTTTACTCGAAACCTACTGAATTTAGAGAAAAAGGGCAAAAAACCAAAGTTTGAAAAGGAGTTAAAAAATTCCATAAAAATTCTCTGAGATACTTTGATAGTCGTGATCACCTCTGATCATATTTATATCGCGATTCCCTAACGGTAACATGGTGAAAAAAATCAAAAACTTGATTTTTTGCAAAAAATTTTACGTTTTTTTATTGTATGAGTAGCCATAACTTTTTTATTACGCAAAGAATCGAAATTTTGAGCTCAGTTTCTGAAAGGACATTAAATTTTACATCGAAATAGGTCCATACGAAACTTTTTGGAGGCCTCAAACTATAAAAAAAATCGCTGCGAAAACCAACAAAAAAATCGAGCATTTCGGTCGTTAATGGGTTAAAGTAACAAAAATATTTCAATAATATTATTGTTCTGGCGAAGTACGTTTTGCTTATTGCGTACGCAATCGTTAAATCATCGTACATTCGACCAGTGTGGTACAGAATTTATCCATGTTTACTTTATGAAATCAACATTATTTAAAATATGAAAAGCAAGATTCAATTATATTTTTTACTTATATCAGAGGCATTCTGAAGTCAGGCTAAAACTGGATATTCTCAACTTTATTTCCATCGTACAGGAGGATATGTAAATTTAGATCGCAAGATATAGTTTACTCAATTTCTACTGAATTCTTGTCTAAACGACTTTACGATTTCCCATGACTATTAAAATTTTCAACGCTTTAAGATATAGGATAAATTTTCACGATCATTTTCTGATTGATAATATTTATTTCTTGTTTCACCATGAAATTTAAATAGAAAAACCTTTGAATTTCTTCGGTGTAAAAATAATAGTTCGCTCGCTCATCATTTTCGTTTTCTATTTGTGTCGAGATAGAAATTGTGTGATTTTGCTTGATAATTTCTCGTGGGCATCGTATTTGGGGACTCGAGATGAAATTATTTATTTTTCAAGAAACGTCGACACGATAATTACCCTTATAAAAATTTCCTATAGGATCTCGCGAAATTCCTACAGGAGTCCTATAGGATTCCAATAGGAATTTCGCGGGATCCTATTGGAAATTTTTATAAGGGTACTGTCACCGGTCTGTGGACTTGGTGTCTGAAGTTACAAAACGTAATGTTTTGTATACAATGTGAAACACGAATTTTTTCATACTTATTACTGTTATTATATTCTTCAATTGTTATCCGTACATCGCGTATTTGTTATTATGAGAAATTATTTATTTCAAGTATGGTCAATGAATAGATATTCCTATGTTGTAATAATTTGTTGGCCCTGAGAAGGGCCGGTTGTTTGTCAAGTGTGTGGTAAAGAAATTTAAGCTTTCTTCTCAGTCTTTTTGGGCAGAAGTACGGCCTGGATGTTAGGCAGGACACCACCCTGGGCGATGGTGACTCCGGACAAGAGTTTGTTCAATTCTTCGTCATTGCGGATGGCCAATTGGAGATGTCTGGGGATGATCCTGGTCTTCTTGTTGTCACGAGCGGCATTACCTGCCAACTCGAGGACCTCAGCGGCCAAGTATTCCATGACGGCAGCCAAGTAGACTGGGGCTCCAGCACCAACTCGCTCGGCGTAGTTGCCTTTGCGGAGCAGACGATGAATTCTGCCCACTGGGAATTGAAGTCCAGCGCGAGTCGAGCGGGTCTTTGACTTTCCCTTGGCTTTGCCGGCACCACCTTTTCCACGTCCAGACATAGTTGCGAGAGGTTGAGTAAAATTCGTACGTGTGACTGAGAGAAGGCACGAATGCGATTTGAAAGCCGAGAGGCGGTGTGAAGCTATTTATAGCGAAAATCAGATGGCGCGCGAACGAATAGGGGGGAAAAGCAGCTGAGTAGGAGTGGAGGGGGCTTAGCGCGTTACCGCGTCGCGCGCCGCACAGTTTTTTATATAAATTGAGTCGCCGAACTGCAGCCCGGCACATTCTTTCGTATTCACCGAATCCGTAAAGAGACTCCTCTGCAATGGCACCGAAAACCAGTGGTAAAGCCGTCAAGAAGTCTGGCAAAGCCCAGAAAAACATCTCCAAGAGCGACAAGAAAGGCAAGAAGAAGAGGAGGAAGGAAAGTTACGCCATCTACATCTACAAGGTCTTGAAGCAGGTTCACCCTGACACCGGTGTGTCCTCCAAGGCCATGAGCATCATGAACAGCTTCGTCAATGACATCTTTGAGCGCATCGCCGCTGAAGCTTCCCGTTTGGCTCATTACAACAAGAGATCGACCATCACCTCCCGGGAGATCCAAACTGCCGTCAGGCTTCTGTTGCCTGGTGAGCTTGCCAAGCACGCCGTCTCTGAAGGCACCAAAGCCGTAACCAAGTACACCAGCTCGAAGTAAATTACCTTGCTCTTTTGATCCACCAAAACAATCGGCCTTTCTCAAGGCCACCAATCATTATACATAGGAAAAACTATTATCGTTATGGGTCAACCTGAAAAATCGGGTTGGTTCGATAAATACAAATAAGCTATTTCATAAATAAAAATTTGAAAATATTAATGACTATCAACAAATTATAAATTGAATATGATAGTCCTATAATATGTTTTCTATTTTGCTTTGAATACTCGTGCTGGCGAGTCTATGATAATATTTTTTTATGAAACATCTTTCAAATGGATTCACAGTGGTGATTATCAATCGAAATATATCTTCTTGCAACCTATGCTAAGGGGTCCTTGAAAGCATTCACGTTACCTGAGTACGTAAAATTTTCGGTTGAATACAGATTTCTCAAAAAAATTGATTTCTATTTTATAGAATCTTATTAGTTGCAAGCTGTCGAGTTATTGAAGATCATTGCAGTGGGTCAAAAACTGGTTGGACTATTTAACGAATAGCCTGGTTTTTATGTGATAAATTTTACGACTAAAGAGATTTAATAATTCTCGAGAAAAGATGGAAACTTTCTCTGGAAGCGTAATAGTTAGAAAATTATATAAATAATCCCTTATTAATTGTACAATTAAGTTCTGGTTGAAAATAAAGTTTTCAAATTACACAATAGTCATTTTTATAATTAACTTCTATCTACCTATGAAAGCCAATGATTTTAAAAAAAGTAGTTTGGATACTAAAAATTATGTATTTCATTGTAAATAAATAACTATGACTGATCAAATTTAAATGAAAAATTATTAATTCAAGATGTTTTTAATTTCTATTGAAATCTGCTAAATGCGGATGTGTAGGATCGATCATCAAATTTTATAGCAATTGGAAGGTGCATCAAATTTCTTTCTTAAAAACGAGTTTGATGTGACATGGAAAATATTTAATTTGTTTTTTAAATTATTAAATTTTCAAGATTTCAAAATGTTTTTTTCAATTTGTTTAAACTTCGAGCTTGTAGGCAATATACAAATATTCATAAACTGGAGTAAACTTTTATAAGCTTTTATGAACCGAAAATTTTTAATGTAATCATCGTTTTGCAGAAAATTTTTCTGTTTTCTGGTAAGTTTTTATGAGCAAAAAATATTGTAACTAGTTATTATAAACTTTGATTATTCATAATCAGCTAGGATTTTCATAATCAGTAGAGTCAGCCGAGACTTCAAAAATCCTTCTATTTTTTTAGTGTTTTAAATTTTCTACCGAAATTTTCAAACCTTTTCTGAAAATAATATTTTGAATAGAAAATCATGGACCTATTCAATTATAGATAAAACTATAGTAAGCAATTTTAAACATTTTCTTTGATTCCGATCAATTTTGCTTCGAGATATGTATGTGGTAGTACACAATATTTGTCCAATTCTGCTTAGGTAGCATTTTTTTTTAATTTCAATTTCCTTTATAAAAATATAAAAAAAATTAATTAAAATGAAAGTTTATTTAGATTCTGTAGGATGTATAAGAAAAAAAGGACGTAATTTTTTCGGTCCTGAAAATATTTTGAATTTAAATTGAGTTCTTTCAAAAGATCTCTTAATATAGAATGCAAATTGTAATATACATAAAACAGTAGTTTTAAGAAAGTCTGTGGAAACTGCAGAAAATTATCAAGATTTTCTCAAAATAGTTTTTATAAACTTTCAATTTCATATAAAATATTGTAAGTGACTTAGTTTTTGAAAATGCTTATGGTATTTTTATTAATAATAGTATTTGAAACAAATTACTAAATTCAATTATTGTATATTGATTGAGTCTAAAAAATTTTTAATATCAAAACTTACAACGGTTGAGTTATTTATTACTAATTTAAACTTTACATGGTGGTTTGTAAGTTATTAACAATAGCAATTGACCCAAGAACTTACTTATTATAAAATATGAGTAGTTTTTAGTATTATAAACTTGTAATATAAAAATGATAGCTCTTGTAAAATGTAAGCAACAATTAAAAAGCCTTTAAAGTTGTTATTACAAATATGAGTTTGTCCAACTTAAAAGAATATTGAAACCTGCTTGAAAATGGTTGATTTCTTAGGAGTAAATGGATATTATTTTTAATTTGAAGTAACTGTTGAATGTATTCAGAACATAATCTTTACAACATTTTTTGACTCTCTTAATGATTAATTAAATTATTAAAGCATCAACAATTTCCATTTAGGCATTAACACAAAAATAACAAAAGACTTGAAAAATAATAAACGAAAGTAAACTTTTATAATTTTCCTGATTATCAAAACTGTTTTTTGATCTACTAAAGCAAAATTCAGTTTTCATTATTTTTTGTCATACTGGATGACAATAACAATTTAAAATGAAGTAGGTTTACAATAAACATAAGAAATGGTATACATTAATAATCATTTATGAATCACTGTAATGTACAAATTAAATTTTTATCTTAAGAACTAAATTAAAATAGCTAGTTATAACAACTTCTCGATAAGCATCCATATCAAGGCAAGTACTAATGGAAGTACATAATAAATTGATATAACGTGAGATTTATATGAAATGGATTTACACTTAGCTTCTAATGAAAGATATTTTTTTGATATAATCAATTTTTCAGAAAGGCTCATGTTATATTTTTCTTTCATCATAACTAATTGCTCACTTAACTCTTTAAGATATTTAGCTTGTAATTGAATTTTCCATAAATTTATATCATGTTTGATATTATTTTTTGAGTTTGTTTCAATTGAATTTAATAATAGCCAATCTTTTAAAGACTTTGGATTATCATCGCTATGGAATTTTACATCATTTGAACATGGAAGTTCACTGAGTGAAATGCATTTCTCAATTAATTGGTTAATGCAAAAATCTTCACTTGAACCCTTATTTACATTATCATTTATTTTGTCAGCAATTTGTTTTAATTTTGTAGCTTGGCCAGTCAAAAGATTTTTTATTTCTTTTTCTTCAATTTTTTTGCATAGTTTGTTTTGTTGATTTGACATATTAGAAGATTGAAATTCTAACGATGTAAAAAGATCTTTACATATTTTCTTTTTTAAATTGTATTTAATGCTAGGAAATTTTAATAAAAATTGAATGCAATCTGAAGTATTATTACACTTGAAATTCAAACTTTTTATGTCTGTAGTTGGATCAAAAGAAAACCGTGAATGTAGAGACATACTTTTTTTTATGTAATATTGTCTTAGTTGCTTCAAGTTAGTATATTTATCAGATATGAAGAATATTTTTTGACTAGTTGGTGCACATTCTCCTATATAATTTTTAGTACAAGTATTGATGATATCATTTTTACTGCAAAACATAGCTGTAGTATGATCATTTTCGATATCATTCAAAGAGACTAATGAATGATCATCATTTTGATTTTTATGAAAGTCATTATTGAGAATATTCAAGTATATTGAATCCCAGTGACTAAGAATTCTGTTTATGAATTCGATTAAACTTTCTTGATTTATGAAAAATTCATTGTTGGTATCTTGCAGTGTTTTGATAAAGTTTTTTAAAGCACTCATTTGTTTGTGAATATTTACTGAATCTAATTTTGAATCATTATAATTCATAATTAAATTATGATCAGAGTACTTATATTTTTTGATTTCATTTAATTTATCTTCATTTTCATTATGTCTTTTTTGAATCATTTCCTTTAGTTTATTTTCAGCTTCTGAAAGTTTGTTGGTTGTTTCTTGTAAAACTTGTTGAGTTTTTGTATGCTTAATCGCGAGATCTTGGAGTTCACTTTGATTTTTCCTTAAAACAGCTTGTAAACTTTGGCTTTCATCTTGACATTGACACAATCTGCACTTCAAAAGTTGAATTTTACTGACTATATCATGTTTTTCTTGAACTTTTTTCTGCAAAATTTCTTTTGTAGCAGTTTGATATTGTACTTTATCTTCCAATAAACATAACATTTCCATTTTTAATTTATCTTCATTAAAATTTTTGGAATAGACTAATACTTGACTTTCCAACATTTCCAGCCGAGACAATAAGCAATCTTCTAATACTAAAGCCTTCCAACCTTGATTAGTTGCAATTCTTGTTTGTTCTAACAACTGCTGCATGTAATCTAGTTTTGATCTTAGAGCATTTTCTCTCCGTCCTGCTTCTTGAATACATTGATTTAATTTGTAAAGATCTTCAAGAGTAATGTTGACATAGGCAATAGAATTTGAAAATAATGCTTTAGCCTCTTTTCCATCAGGTAAATAAAGTTTTAAAGTAGCTACTATACATCCATGAGTAACTTTTTTAGTACTTTCAACAACGTCAACACCAAATTGAACAATGTCTCCTGAACATATTTCACAAGCTATGGATTCTTCACCAGATGGACTTAGACGTTTGTTATTAACAAAAGTACCATTGCTGCTTTTAGTATCCTTCAAGAAAAATTTCCCACTTTCATACCACAACAAGGCATGGTTTCTTGATAACACTTTACAATCAAAAATGGCATTATCATTTGAAGCTTTAACTCTTGCAACTGAACGCCCAATTTTCACTGGATGTTCTAGTGATAAAGTTCTTTCATGAAATGGATAAGAATTGACATGACATATGAGTATTCCAGTAGCTGACATATTTCTGTTTTGTTTCAGTCTATGATCATCAGTCACAAATGCATTACGAGTCATAACCATAGCAGTATTATTAAAATTAGTATTTACTGTTGAAGATTTTGAATCGAGATGTCAAGCATTTCAGACGCATATTAAACACAACGTCACAATTCAATAATTTAAATTTAGTTAGAAAATGTGTTCAAAACACGCAGCAATAAAGCTCATGGATCTACCAATGAGCGAAAAATTTTTTTTTAACTAATAGCATAAATAGCACCTCGTAAATTGAATATTTTTTATCTTGACGAACGACAACTTGTCGACGATGAAGACGGATTTTGCAATAGTTGTATCATTGAAAGTTTTTCAATAATCGTGATAGTAAGACGAAGAATTTATTAAAGCCGATGGAATCATTCGCTTTGCTACATGCAGACTGCAGTGCAAAATTCCAACATGGTGTCACAATTATTGGTCCTTATTGCCTCTTACTACTCAGTTGAGTCAAGCCGGAAAGTCAGATAACAACTAACACGGTCGTTAGCCGAGCGGATGACGCATCCACGTACATACATACCCATGCATTACTTTATATAAATTGTAATGAAGTCTATTTTTTGAAGAAAAAAACGAACACTGCACGGTGTATTGTTCTATAACAAATATGATTACTCAATATTAATCATTTAATAATAATTATTTGATAATAATCATATTAGATCAGTTTGATAGATTAATTGATCTATTGAAAATTTTATGATTTACTATTATTGTATTATAAGAGTAGTAATCATGCACTAGCACAATTGCGATGTTAAACACGGTCACGATGCATTGCTGGCTGTTTCTTTAATGTTTACGGTGGTGAGTTCGGTTCTCGTTGATTGTGCATTGATCAAGCAGAGACCTTTAATAATTTGCTAATGCTTGATAATATCTTTTACTATTACATAGAAACATTTAGAGAAATGCATAATGACGTAATTGAAAAAAAACTCGACGAAAAGTTGAAACCTAAACAAACGGATCGATTTAATTAAAAAAAATTTCAACTAAAAGAAATTCCCTGAAAAGTTAAAAAAAAAATATTTGAAGATTCTTGTGTCTTTTGAAGCATTTTTTTTGCACCTAGCCTAGGAATGTTTTCGAATGTACACTTGAAGTTTCGATAAAAAATCGACTTGTGACTGAAATCTATTAGATGTGCTGTGCCAATTTCGCAAATTTATAAATCGCTCCGCTTTTCTTGTCGATTTCACGATTGCGCCTCTACAACTTGAAAGTGGCGGTACCTTAAGAACTATAAAAACCTGCATGCGCGGCCACGCATTATCTCACAATTAAATTCTATTAGTTTACACAAATAGCTCCTTATTAAAAAGCAAAAATTTAAATGGTAGATTATTCTATAAGGCCAATAATTTATTATAGGGAGTGCTTGCAAATAAATTATCTGAAAATTTTTTCTCCAATCGAATCTCCAAAATTTCTAGCAACAATTTCTGAAAACCACACTAATAAACTCGAACGTCCATTGAAAAACCCTTTATATCTTTTTTTTATGTTTTTTTCATTTTTACTAGTGGGTCAAAATAATACTTTTTTACAAAACCGACGCGGTTTTGGTATGTTATAGTACATCATAAAAAGGTCCCAAAAACCAAATTTAAGACCCCCTCCCCCCTCCTACCCCCCACTTCCGGTATAAAAGTCCATTTTCGATCTATATTTTTTCTGAGGACATAAAGCAATTAAAAGATCTGAAAAAATTCAAAAAAATACTTTTCAATAATCCAAACAACCTTGAATTTTTTCAAATTTTTTGAGTGCTTCAGGCCTTCAGATAAAACCATTATAAATTCTGAAAATCGAGATACGGAGATATGAGCCGACGTAGAACTGGCCAATTTTTTCAGATTTTTTCAGATTACCTTACGCACCTTTTGAAGCAAAAAACCGCTTTTTTTAACGAAAATAATTTTTTTAGGAGGGTACGGAGCCTCGAAAAATCTGAAAAAATTTTTTTCTTGTTTTTTTCATTAAAACACATAGCCTCAAATTTTTTCAGATTTTTTAATTGAAGGCGATAGCTTCTAGGGTTGAAATATGCTATTTGTAACATAAAAAGGTTCCTAGAACCCGATGGTTACGGTAAAGAAATTTGAAAAAATTTTTTTTTGAATTCCTTGTCAAAATTTAATAAATTTTGACCGTTTCAAGTTTCCGATTGAAGCCTCCTAGCTCAATGTAGAGTAGGACAAAGATTAATGCCAAAATCTGAAGACGTCTCTGAAGACACATTAAAAATGATAAATCTGTTTTGATGCTCTCGATTTAGCTAGGAGGCTTCAATCGGAATTTTGAAAAGGTAAAAATTTATTAAAATTTGACAAGGAATTAAAAAAAAATATTTTCAAATTTGTTCACCGAAACCATCAGGTTCTAGGAACCTTTTTTTGTTCAAAATAGTATTTTTTGGCCCTAGAAGCTATCACCTTCAATAAAAAAATCTGAAAAAATTTGAGGTTATGTATCTTGATCAAAAAAACAAGAAAAAAATTTTTCCAGATTTTTTGAGGCTCCGTATCGTCCAAAAAAATTATTTTCGTCAAAAAAAGCGGTTTTTTGCTTCAAAAGGTGCGTTAGAAATAGTAAGTTTCAAACTCGCTTCGCGAGCAAATTTTTTCATTCGTGTTTTGAGGTTAAAGGTCTGTTGACAGTTAGCGGCTCAGGCGCTCGTATCGAGTCGACTCGCGTCGGACGTCGTCGTCAGTGTCAGCCAATTAGAGGTCGTTTTACGATGCTTCACTTTGAGGTCCATGATCTCTTTTTTATAAGTAGAGAAAAAAATAAAATAAAATAAAATAAAATAAAATAAAATAAAAAAAAAAAGTAAAAAAAAGTAGAGAAGAGAGAGAAACGAGAAAAAAAAATGTTTTTTAGTTTTTTATCATTTTTAAAAAATATTTTCTACATTTCATAATTAGACTTGCGATTCAAATTTGCAAGCTCATGATGTGTGAAAAAAAACCACGATTCCTATATGGATTTCCGAGTGGATTTTTGTGTGGATTTTATGACAGTGTAGATGTTCGTAAAAAAAATTAAACTAAGTCATTCAAAGTAGTTCAAAGCTTTCTTTGCAATGGACTTACCTTGGTTGAAGCTCTATTTTTGGGAGGATTTTTCGATTTAAGTTTCTCGCTCGATTACCCAAAAATAGAGCTCGTATTACCAGACTAAAAATCCGGCAAAAATATCTCTTAGACAAATTTTGCGAGATCCTACAGAAATTTTTTGCCAGGGATTTATATAAGAAAATACATGCACTTCCCATACGGAATGCAGTTAAAATCGGAGTTGCGTAAAATGCAAGTAGAAATCCACGCAGTTTTTTTCAACTGTATAGCTAGAACTGGTAAGATTTAATTAGTTAGTTCTATCATCGAATTTTATCGATTAAAAGCTGAACTAGTCTCAACTTCAGCTTGCTTTTGAACAAATCAATTAACGCTAGACACACAATTAATCTTATGAATTTTATACTTAATCTTCTTAATAACATTTTATTCTTGAATGATAATCGATTTTAAAATTTTTTCATTGATTATAATTTTTTGATTAAACTATTTTCATTTAAAGGGTCTGTATATCGGATCCCCATTATACTTCAGATTAAATTATACAGCTTTACGCTATTGGACCGCCATAAAGCCAGTGTCACAAACCAAAAAAAAGGAGGTGAAAAAGTAGTTGATTTTCTTGAAACTCGAGGCAGCACTGAGCAGACTAAGCCGCTGAGCATCGTTTTCCTACAGTTTTTATCCTAGTTGATTGAAAAGTTGCATACTTACATGTACGGAACATTTTTATACTAACACTTTGTTTTCATATTATAAAAGTACATCCATATTTAGATTTGTACATTTTGTCATAAAATTATTATCGATCATAGTATATTTTGAGCAAAAAATTATAATAGAGGCGATGTTTTATGATCAAACAACTCTTAGATTACTACAGTATTAAAATGAATATTCCTTGTTTGTGAAATTATACCAGTAGTATCAACAAATTCAACTATCAGTAGAATATTTTTAGTATGACTTAATTGAACTATTCATAACTATGTCAGGAATGGAGTGTAATAGTGATATGGAATGCTCTGATTCAGATTGTGGAGACGCTAATTATGAAGATTATTACAGTAACCAGATTTGGGATAGTGTACCCGACAATGATATTGATTCCAACCAACAATTAAGAGAATTGGAGATTACAGCTTTTGATTGTTTGAGAGTAGAAGATGTGGAACGATTGTTAAATGAAAATGTTGAACTACTGAGTTCTAATCTCAAGATAACTCCTTCTCTTGCCAAGCTTTTTCTTTATGAAAATAAATGGTCTTTACAAGATATTTTAATGAAATACAAAGACGATACCCTAAAAATTACCACTGATGTTACTATGAATTCTCTAAAATTCACAGATATAAGCTGCAATGACCATCTTACAGAATTGAATTGTTTAGTTTGTTTTTCATTATTATCTTTAGAAAAATTTAATGCTCTCAACTGTGGGCATTTTTTTTGCAAAGATTGTTGGTGCATTCACTTTGAGACTCAAATCGCTCAAGGGATTTCAACAGGTACGCTCAAATATTTAACAGAACATTTTGACACCTTTTATTTGTAGTCCAAAAAATCCATAATATTATTGTTTTGTATATGTACCACTTTAATTATAGATATACAATGATTGGGTATCTTGGACTGCAAATAGACAAATTATTCTTCACCTTATTTAGTGATCTGAAAGAGTTTTGACAATTAATTTTGAGTTATTGACCATAAACTATAGAAACATAAATACTTTCATATCAAAACCAATTAATAACTTGAGAAGCTTTTTTAATTACTTTCATTTTTATAATTAATAGTAATTTTAATGCATATCATATTAGAAATAGAAAATAAATAAGAAAATAAATAAAACATCTTGTTAAGGATTAGTTTTTTCAATTGCTTGCACTAAAGTATAAAAACTAATTTTAATACATATTGAACAATGAAAAATTAATCAAATATGTGATCTGTCATGAGAGACCACCATAAAATTTACAGTGAACCAAAAAATAGGGTTATAGTGAAGTAGCAAATAATTCATTAAAAAACCATTGTTGAATTTTTACTCATAAATATATCACGAATTAATAGAAAATTTTCGGGTAAATTTCGTGTATATGAGCAATTCCTTTATTTAGTTTCAAATTTTTTGACTAAGAACGGAAAATTTTTTTTTCTTTAGGCGTATATTGTGAATATGGGGTATTGTTCTTGAAGGTCCTAGGAAGCTAAAAAAATGCGTGAACATGAAATTTAAAGATAGGTAATTTTCTTCTGGCTACTTTTGTGTTTTAGGGCCCAAAAAGTCATGTTTTAGCGTAAATACGACAATTCAATCAATTTCAAAGTGGCTGAAAAAGTATCAAAACTCATTTAAAAAAAGTGACTGACTACTCCATTCGATAGGAAATTTTCTCAGCTTTCCGATGGTGATGTCAGATTTTTCGATACATTGCATGATCACCGAGAAAACCATCACCAAACATGCTGAGCTAAATATCTCGAAAAATTCAGTACAGAAAAAGTGTTTTTCGTGGTTTATTTCTGACTGTTTTCTTATGAAAATTGAATATTTCGGAAAATATGATACAGTGGGGTCTCGTTATACGCGGGGGTTACGTTCCTCAAAAGTACCGCGTATAACGAAACCGCGTATAACGGGACCTTACGCTTATGGGAAATAGGGGGTTACGTTCCAAGAATTCGAAAGTTGGTAAAAAAAAAAAATTTTATTTATAAATAATATAAAAAATTGTCATTATTTTCCAAAATAATCCGTCAACTTTGACTGCTTTGATCTTCTCAAAATATCTCTGTACAATTCTTCACTGTACTACCGTCGAAAAGCTGAGGAAATTTTCCATCGAAATCGTATCTTTAATTATTTTTTCCGACGAATTACAATAATGTACAAGTGAATTTCGTTTACTGTGTTCGTTGTTTTCTGATTCCGAGCTGTTTTCAGCGCAGTCGCGTGGCTCGCTCCAATCGAAATTCGCTCGTAATTAGACTCAAAAAATAAATAAATGTGATTTCGATAGAAAACTTCCTTAGCATTCGGATGGTAGTATCATATTTTCCGAAATATTCAATTTTCATAAGAAAAAAATCAGAAATAAACCATGAAAAACACTTTTTCCGTACTGAATTTTTCGAGATATTTAGCTCGGCATGTTTGGTGATGGTTTTCTCGGTGATTATGCAATGTATCGAAAAATCTGACATCACCATCGGAAAGCTGAGAAAATTTCCTATCGAATGGAGTAGTCAGTCACTTTTTTTAAATGAGTTTTGATACTTTTTCAGCCACTTTGAAATTGATTGAATTGTCGTATTTACGCTAAAACATGACTTTTTGGGCCCTAAAACACAAAAGTAGCCAGAAGAAAATTACCTATCTTTAAATTTCATGTTCACGCATTTTTTTAGCTTCCTAGGACCTTCAAGAACAATACTCCATATTCATAATATGCGCCTAAAGAAAAAAAATTGTCCGTTCTTAATCAAAAAATTTGAAACTAAATTCCAGAATTGCTCATATACATGTACATTCAGATTTTCTAATTGAAATTTTACCGGAAGAATATTTTTAATGAAAAGGGAATAATGAATTAAATAATTCAATTATTAACATCGCACACGTTATTTTATTACTTTTTTGTTAAAAAACAAAATAATTTTGTTTTGCCTATTTTTTTGAGATAAAAGTGGACTCATAACTGAATTGACATATTTGTTTAATCAGCGTTGTGACATAAGCAACTGCACGAGTCAGCTGCTAGTTCTTCTTTATCTATTCATATGACATTGCCAACCTTCTAATATAAATAATTAGAGTGAATTGTACCAGTTTTTGATTACCTAATAGAAGAGCATGCTTTTTTAACATTAAGATTAATTTCTAAAAGCAAGTAGAGTGAGAATATTTTTTGAAAATATCGAAAACTGACACATTAATACTAATTATTTGTATTAAAAGTTAGTCAATAGTCGACAAGCAGTTGACTCGTGCAGTCACTTGTGACACAATGCTGGCTTTTATATATGTTTATAGAACTGTGTGTTCTAAGTTCTCATTTAAAGCACGCTTTTCGGTGGTATAAGTCGCACTTTACGGTACCGCATCGTTCGCATCACACTCGCAGCACTCGTGCGCTAACCTCACTTGCCGGTACCAGAAAGTGCGACTTATAACTCGGAAAAAGGAGCATAAATGTAAACTTAGCACAGTGCTATAAAATCGAGTACGATACTCGGGCCATTGGGGACACTTTCCGATACGTCACTTACAGTCCTTATATCGTAAAGTACTGGTATGCAACTTGTGTCAATAAGCTTTTCAGCAAAACTCGTTACAGTACTCGCCTTTGAGCTCGTGCTGCAACCCCTCGTTTTGCAAAAAAAGGATATCCACACTTATTGCATAAAGTAATATTACTAGAAAAGGAAATCTTTGTCTTTTTTTCTATAATAAGGTGAAACCAAACTGTTTCCGTAAATATTCAATGGTTTAGGAGATATAGCCGTAGAAACAGTTATTTTGATTTAATTTTTTTAAGCTTAAAAAATGCCATATTCCTAACTCGGGCAAAATTTTTTCAGACCATCTTAACTGCTCGCCGCATGAATCTCGCGAAAAATCCTTTCAAACAAAGAGATTCGTGGCTCCCGAATCCGATTTAAACAAAAAATGACTTGCTGTCAGCTAATCAAAGTAAAAAGTAAAATAAAACAAAATTCTTAAAATGAGCCTAAAATATGCCTAGGGGAATAGCCAGAGCAAAATTTGAACTCCTGATCCATAAACTCTTGTCTAGCCCTTCCAATGGGTAAAAAAAATTAGATAAGTGATTATTAACTTATTCGCTCAAAACACGGTTAAAAAATGGAGAATTGTGAAAAAGGGTAAAAAAACAGCGTGTTTTTGCTGGTTATAGTGGAACATAATTGTCAGTGTAATGTTGCTACTACAAACATTAAAAGAATGACATTATGTATTTGGACATTGCTTGCAAGATTACTCCAGTCTCTAAAGCGACGCCTTTACATATGCAACCCAATATACATGTTATCTATTCTAATCATTTTAAGATGATCTATTATCTTTACGCATTTCAATGACTTGACGTAATTTAATCTTCTATAAAACAATAGAGAAGAAGATCATGAGCCTCAGTCTCGTAGTGTGTGATGATATTATACACAGTCATAAGTGAATAATTATAATAATTCAATTAAGTAAATTAATTAATAGAATATAAAACAATAATCAATTATACAACCAATAATATTTAAACCATTGAAACAAATAACTAAATCAAATTATAGTGATAAAATCTTTCGGTTAGTATGAGTTATAATAAATAATAATATTATTAATAAATAATTAAGTATATAATTGTTAGATATAACAATGATTAGTATAAGAACTAACTGTTTTATCATATAAACACGTATTTGAAGGAAAGGCTTGAATACTTGGCACATAGAAGTTTAGAGGCGTGTCAATCAAATAATAGAAAACCTTTCACTTTTGAGAATTAATGATTAACTCATAGAAAAATGATCGATTACTCACTTTCTTCTTCTCCGGTTTCCAAACTGGACAGTTCTAAGAATTAAGCTCTGCTTCTTTGTATCGAGAACAGGTACTCCATTCAATTCATCAATGTAAGTTCAGATTATAATAAATATGATAATTAGAATATATTCATCCTTTCTATTTATTTTCTAATATAAGGATACTTTTCATTTATTATTCTAATTTTATACAAAATTTTCTTCACAATGTGAGTCACGGTTTCAGAGGCAATGAACTAACCAACAATTCCTGAGTTATTGTACGTTAATTCAGCAGACTCAAAATAATCGGTATATCAAGGCAAATCATACGAAATATTTGTCCAAAGACAACTATTTACGTTACACAGTAATCAAATTTAGGCTACCTTCTTTTTATGGCGAAAAAATACTTTTTTACCTTATTACAAAGTGATTTTCAAAAATAAGTGTTTTCGCTCCACCGTAATGTTTACAATTATATTTATTTGTATCATGTAAAATAAATTAAAGAGGCAAAAATTCATGTAAATTCCCTTCACGGGCCAAATAAATAAACATCGATGTAAATTGAAGAGGATTTTTCTATGATCTAGAGAATTTTAGTGAATTCGAGATTATATATATTATTATGTTTTAATAGGTACTTATATCTTCCATAACTGAACCTTTATAAATAAAGTTGCCAGATTTGACAGAATTCTAATTAGATTTTCGAACAGGAAATGAAGCTCTGTTTTAATAAACTAACTAGATTTTGTTATCTAGATTTCAAGGTGGATTTTAATTTTTATCACCAGATGATTGACCTTAAAAATCTTAAAGGGGCTCACCTGTGTTAAATCCTGCATTATCCTATCAATTGAAAAACATGAAAATGAAATGTTGAAATTAAAGTTTTTGATTTGATGTAAAATTATGTTTTTTTTTAAGTCTTATTGCAACTAAACAAAAAACCCTGTCTCTTGTACCTTTTATTATTTAAATTGGTCCAGTCCGCACCCATACTGACTTATCATTCCAAGACCCTGTGTCGCAGGAATCTGAATTGAATCAATCTTGATCCTAGTGGTCTTGAATTTTTGTCTAAGTATTTTTTTTCCTACTAAAATACAAAAAATTTTTCTTGTTTATGCAACAAGTGTTCCAAATGCGTTTTTGCGCACAGTGTATGCACGAGGGCTGGTGACAGTCAGTACGAGTGCAATCAAACAAGACATGAGTGCTAGCTACGCTGGAACGAATGGATTGTTTTGTGAGTACTAGTATTGACTACGCCGGCGCGAGAAGACACATGAGTGATGGCCATGCCGGCACGAGTAAGTTGTTTATCGCACATACCAGTGTCCAAAAACGCTTTTTGTGCACTAAAATGTGTGCGTATATAGTTATTTATGCAACAAGTGCCCAAAAGGCGTTCTTTCTTCTTATATATCGATATAGAAAATAACAAAGATTTTTTTTTAATGGGGAAAGTCCTCTACAAAATGGGCCCTAAGGCCCATTGGATCAAACTAAGCACAGAGAGCTTCAGTATCGAGTACCAAAAGACCCCCAAAAAAGTTTGGTAAAGATCTGTGACCCGGACCTGAAAAGCTCTCCTTGTTAGTTTAAATTTTAAGCGCTTGTGTGATTCGGCAGTCCAAATTTATGATGAATTGTACAAAGATATTTTGAGAAGATCAAAGCAGTCAAAATTGACGGATTATTTTGGAAAATAATGACAATTTTTGATATTTCTTATAAATAGTATTTTTTTTTTACCAACTTTCGAGTTCTTGGAACATAACCCCTTATTTTCCATAAGCATAAGGTCCTGTTTTACACGGTTTCGTTATACGCGGTACTTTTGAGGAATGTAACCCCCACGTATAACGAGGGACTTCTGTACTTTACCAAGTAAAAAACTGAATCAGATTCTGGAGCCACGAATCTTCTTTTTAAGTGCACTTATTGCGGGGTTTATGCAGCAATCACATAAGACTGTCTCAAAATTCTGTACAATGTAGAAATTAGGCATTTTTTAAGCTTTAAAAAAATCGAATCAAATTAAATGCTTGTACGGCTATAACTCAAAAACTATTGAATATTTACAAAAAAAATTCGATTTCATCTCATTCTGCAGTAAAAGACAGATTTCCTTTTTTTATTCGTCTCAATACGACCAATAGAACCATTTGCAAAAAATGGTACAAGACACGCGAGGTGATACTTTTGCGAGAGAAAAAACGAGAGTGATAATGGCCGCGTATCGCACGTGTCGAGAGAGGAAGATGCTACCGGCGCTGGCCTTGGCGCGCGCCATCTCTCGCTAAGTATCGAAAAGCGCTGCTAACTTGCACAGCACGTGAGCACGCACATGTGCAAGCCCAGCGACTACACATGTTCATGAATTTCTTGAACACAGTCCATTTGCCTTCATTTTTTAGGAAAGCAAAATTTTCATGCAAAGCTGGATTATTCTTGTCAAACAACTAATTTTTGGAAGTATCCCAGTACTATGTAATTATGTATGAAAATATTGCTTTCTATACAAGTCCGCAAAAGTATGATGATGCAAAGATCACTCATCATGCACGAGAACAACAAAGACTCGGCAATAAACGTTTCTTTATCATCCCAATCACTATAATTATTCATGTACTGTATTAATGATAGTGAAGTTTTGTGAAGATTCTACTTTAAATTTTATATAATTTAAAGTAACTATTCTATTTTCAGGAATAAGTTGCATGGCCAAGGATTGTACAAATTTAGCACCCGAAGACTTTGTGCTGTCTAACGTAACTAAGCCGGCACTACGTGAACGTTATCAATTGTTTGTTTTCAGAGATTATGTTAAGTCACATCCTCAACTTAGATTTTGTCCTGGACCAAACTGTCAAGTAATTATTAGATCTAAAGAATTAAAGGCTAAACGTGTAATATGCAGTATTTGTAAAACAGAATTTTGTTTTCGATGTGGAATGGATTATCATGCGCCAACTGATTGTAATACCATTAAAAAGTGGTTAACAAAATGTGCAGATGATTCTGAAACGGCCAACTATATCAGTGCTCACACAAAAGATGTAAGAATTTTTTTTTAGGTAAAAGTTGTATACCTCTTACACTTAGTCTCTTATTTTATTTTATGCATTTTAAATGTGTTTGAGAAAATAAAACAGTCAAAGCGGGTTTTACGAAAAATATTTTTGTGGTACTTGAACGATTATCAATAGTATAAGCATACAACAAAATTTTAAAATCCAGAAACTAGATGTAATAGACTCGACGTTTATGGGGTTTCTAAATTTGAATTCCACGTCTGTTTTTCTGGGATTATTGATTTTCTAGATCATTTAAAGGTCAAAAATAGAAAAATGGTAAAAAATCGAATAGAAATGTCTGTTTATGCTCCGTGAAATCTTGCATAATGAGGATGTAGACAAATGAAAATATCGTGTCTGACGTACACTACCGTTCGATCAATTTTGCCATACCTAAGAAAAAAATGAGTAAACTTCAAAGTGCTATAGTTCAATCAATAAAAGTCAGATCAGGATTTAAAAAATACTATTCGAAAGGTCTTTACAAGTGCTTTACAGATACATAAATTGTGATATGATCCAATCATTTATTCACCAATTGATTTCAACAAATGAAAAATTGAAAAAATCAGTTTTTCTTGAGGTTGCTATTTTATTCGCTATTTTAGTAAAAAATCTTGTAGAAACATTCTGACTCCGTCATTTTGTTGGTTTTGACAAGACCTTCTTCTAAAATTCTACTACAAGAAAAACTGATTTTTCCATTCTTCATTTGTTAAAATTAATTGGTGAATAAATGATTAGACCCTATCACAATTTCACTCAATAAATACACTCTCGAACTACTACTACTCATAAAATCATTTTTTTTTATATCTTTCAATTTTTATATTTTCATCAAGTGCTTCATTTTAATAATACATGAGGGCATACAGCGTCCACGAATTCGCTTTTATCAAATTTTGAATAATTGAAAAATTTATCTTGATTATTTTTAGTGTCCCAAATGCCATATTTGCATTGAAAAAAATGGAGGCTGCAATCATATGCAATGCTACAATTGTAAGCATGAATTTTGTTGGATGTGTCTTGGAGACTGGAAAACCCATGGTAGTGAATATTATGAGTGCTCTCGTTACAAAGAAAATCCAAATATTGCCCATGAAAGTGTCCATGCTCAAGCTCGAGAAGCCTTAAAAAAGTATCTTCATTACTATGAACGGGTAAGGAAATTCTTTCATATTCTTTATATAGTCAGTTTTTAAGGCACTTACCCGATAGTGTTAGTGGCTTTCTCTGTTACATTAGAATAAGTTGATCAAATATCCAATGTATGCGAGTAAAATTATTTTTGAGTACATTTAAATCCAAAACTTTTCAAAAAAATCCGATGAAAATGCATGGAGGAAAAATTAAAAACGATCGTTTTAGTCCGGCTTGACCACCACGTCACTCATGTTAAAAATTAATAAAATTTACTATTCGGATTATTCAAATTATAGGTCCACACATTGCTTTTTTAAACAGATATTGATTCAGCAATCCCTTGAAAACGTATCTCTTATATAAAAGTCCTACAGAAAAATCCCACAGAAAATCCTGCAAAACTTTTGAAAGAATTCTGATGGACTCTTGCACGACTTTCTGTAGAATTTCGTGCAGAATATTCTATGAGACTTTTTTGTAACGGTATTTTCATAATTTAAGAAAACACACTTTTCAAAAAACAAAAAAAAATTAATTTTGGATTGAACTATTTTAAAAAATACCTTCCAAAAAAAATTTTATATCATAAAAATTCTCTAAAATGTAAAATATCACTCAAGTTTATAAGTTTAGTGTTATTTTTCTTCGAACATTAGGTAGCTGGAGTTCATATCCTACCTTTATAAGGTCATTAATTGCTTATTATTTCTGGGGTGCGCTTCGCTCGTTTGACAACCTTGTGACTATACGCTTTTATAAAAATCTTATTTGTCGAAAAAAAGGTATTAATCGTGAATTTGATACAATATAATCAAGTATGAAATTGACTCATAGGTCATTCGGTAGAGTGCCAGATTTACATTCGAACGATCGTATTAAGTATAGTATTCGAAAAATACATTTTCTGTTTAAAATCAAAGTTTTTGAAATTGATAAATTGAACTAACCTCTCAAAATCTGGCTCGAGTTATACTTGTTTCTTGATTTTTTGTTTATTTGACCAAGTACAAAAAATTTCTGAATCAAGAATAGTCTGAGTACCCAACGACGTATAAGATCATTTATTAATAACAATCTATAAAATTCTGTATGTGTTCATTACGCCCAGTCTGACAGATATTCGTTAAGGAGATCTGGACCCCACGTTTTTATCGACCGAGACATGCAAAGTTTCTTTTATTATTAACTTTTTCTGTAATTCGAATTTCGACAAATGGCTCTTTGACGACCTTTATTTTGTCGCTAAGAATAATCAGTTAAAATTGCAGCCCATTCCATTGAGCAGATTTCCCAGAAACTGGATTAAAATTTTTGATTAAGCCATGGATCAAAAGTCAGGATCAAAAATTTTTGATTAAGCCATGGATCAAAAGTCAGGATCAAAAATTTTAATCCAGTTTCTGTGAAATCTGCTCAATGGACTGGGCTGCAATTTTAACTGATTATTCTTAGCGACAAAATAAAGGTCGTCAAAGACTAAAGAGCCATTTGTCGAAATTCGAATTACAGAAAAAGTTAAAAATAAAAGAAATTTTGCATGTCTCGGTCGATAAAAACGTGGGGTCCAGATCCCCGTTGTCCCAAAATTTCAAGACCTTGTATGAAAAAAAATTTAGGTAAAGAGTCACCTTAAGTCTGATAATTTGACGAGGTATACACCGGTACGAGTAGGTTGTTTTTACGTACACTGTGCGCTAAAAGATGGGCACGTGTTGCCTACACAATTTTTTCAAAAAAAAGGAGAAAAATAGGAAAGTGCTACTTCCCGCACTGCTGGCGATTTTTAAATTTACTTTCCGCACGTTGTAATGAAAATTAGTGTACGCAACTGGGGTGGTTGACAATTTTGCACTCGTGTCAATACAACCCTCGTATACTTGACCCTCGTGCCGATCGACAACCTCCCGCCCCCGTTGCGTAATCTACTACTATGATACGTGTGACTGAAGCAGGACATTATTGCCACGATACACGATAAATTACTATTACGATACAAGTGCCATAAAACTGAGTACGGGATTCACTAGTTATAACATCGCTTTCTAGTAAATTAACGATATCTCCGACATTTTGCTAATAAAAATAAAAAAAAAAAATCAAATATAAATTTTTGTTACTATTCCAAGTCCTATATAATTGATTCTTCAAGTCTCAAATTGAAAGATCTAATGTAATCTCTACAACATATTTTCGGATTTAGGTTTTGTAAAAAATCCTGTCGTGTTTTTTTATTGATACGTCAGTTTTATTTCATTCCAATATCATTAATTTCATTTAAATCGTTTATAGCACCGTGTGGCATAGGTTCACATTTATGACATGCTTTTCTGTGGCATAAGTCGCACATTCTGGCACCGCTGCGTTCGCATCACACTCGCATACGCTCGTGCGCTAACCTCACTTCGCGCTACCAGAAGTGCGACTCATGGCTCGGAAAAGGGGGCATAAATGTGAACTTTGCACAGTACTATAAAATGTTGTTCGATACTCGGGCCATAGGGGACACTTTTCGGCCCAGCTGTTAGGACCCTCGCTGCGCTCGGGCCCTAAACTACGCCGTGCCAAAAAGTGTTACTTATGGCCCTTGTATCGAAAACTACTATTTGAATATTTTACACTAAGTTAAAAGTTATTTCAATTTTACAGTGGGAAAATCATAGTAAATCGTTGAAACTAGAAGAACAAACGCTAGAAGAAATCAAGTTGAGAATACATAAAAAAGTAATGGATGCGAGTGGAACATGGATTGATTGGCAACATCTATTTGAAGCTGCTTCACTATTAGCTCGATGTCGATACACGTTGCAATATACGTATCCCTATGCTTATTACATGGAATCAGGTTCAAGAAAGGAATTGGTAATTATTACTTCGTATAATCATTATTCCAAAAATTTTTTTTCCTAATTCTTGTTTATTTATTAAGTTTGAGTATCAACAAGCTCAGTTGGAAGCTGAAATAGAAAACTTATCTTGGAAAATTGAAAGAGCCGAAACAACTGACAGAGGTGACTTGGAAAATCAGATGGATATAGCAGAAAAAAGAAGAATTACATTACTGAAAGATTTTTTAAATGTATAAATTTTTTAAATGAATAATTATATTCATATAATACATCATGACTCACCCTTCAGAAAAAATTGTGAGTAAGTTAATTATTCAAAATTATTTTTTCAAAGAACGATATTGCGTTTGACCGCAAGCAGGATAATTATGTCAAATTTACTTTTGTATGGTTCATGTGTTATTAAAGTATAATATAATACTTTGATAATTATTTTATATGAATCTGAAGATCCATTAATATATCTTAGCTATTATGAAATAAAATGAATGTTTGTCAAAATTTGTGTCTTCATTTGATTTGTTGCTGAAACCTAGTGAAAAAATTTAACAAAGAATTTTTCCCATGTATTGCAGTTTTAATCCTAATATTTAAAATTTTATAACAAAGGTCGTTTCTCAATTCAAACATTAACGGTTTATACAAATTTTAAATAACAATTTTTCCATTTTTAAATTACGTTATACCTCTATTTTATTGCATTTTTATCAATGCAAAATTTTGACTTTAAATTAAGATAAGTAGTTTTATGATCCTCAGTCATATTACTAGTATCAAATATTAAATATATTATTTGTATACAGTGGAATTCGTTTATGATAGCCACGTCGGAATCAAATCATTTGGACACATTAAGCGGCTGATCATAGTATGCAGAAAAAAAATTTATTCAAATGTACAACAAATATACTTTTTTAACACTGCGTGCGCGAAACACGGGTTTTCTAACCTTATAGTGTCAGAAAACCCTAGTTTCTCGCAAGCAGAGTTAAAAAATATCGTTTGCAACTAGTCCGCGAGGGTGAGTCAACTGCTTCGCGCACTTGTTACAAAATATACTATAAACTTAAACTTATTTAAAAAAAAAATTTTTTTATTTTTAGATTTTGCAATTGAAAACCACTTGAAATCTCATGGTTTTCATGCAAATATCGCGTTTTCGATACCTAAGTTAAAAGTTATCGTGGTTTAGATAGAATAAAATAATGTTTGAACACGGAGAGAAAATATACGCGTTTAAGGGAAGACTTGTATCGAGCAAGAATCGCCGGAACGCTTGCCTGGCTCAATCGCTGGCTGTCCAGCGATGCGAATACACCACCGTCGCTTCGGCCGCTCGCACGCTGAGACTTGAGTCGACCTATTTTGTGAGATATTCGACTTTAAAAGTTTCCCGGCGATTTTCTCGAGAAAAAATGACTTTTTCAGTGAGTTAAAAATTTAGTGATAAGACTAATTAATGCGGTTCGGCCGTAGTTCGATTCAAGTCCCAGCGTATAGAGTCTCCGGCGTTCATCGCCGGACAGCCAGTGATTGAGCCAGGCAAGCGTTCCAGCAATTCTCACGTGATGCAGGTCCTCCCTCAAATGCGTATATTTTCTCTCTGTGAACAAACAAAATGGCGGTCGGAACGCAAAAAAAATTTAAAAAAAAACTATAATTTTCAACTCAAAAATGGAGCACTTGACGAAAAAAAGTTATAGAACAAAAATGGCTTAGAATTGACCAAGGAACACGTGTGAATTTTTTCAGAATTTTTGGTGCGATTTTTGGGTATGACCTTTTTACGAATAATTTGTAATTTTCTTATTATTTTTAGTAACAGATCTCTTTTCTCAATTGGATCTAAAAAATTAGGTGACCTTAAGAAAATTATTCAAAATTTTTCAAAAAGTCGAATGAATCAAAGAATTGAAAAAATATTGTTTTTTTTTTTTTCAAAAAAATTTGTAAATCATATGTGTCTTATTTATATACTTTGTGAGAAATTTCTTCATCTAAGTCAGGTTTATAGGATTACAAACACGAGCATTCGAAAAGATAACTAATATTATCTATTAATTTTTAATACGATTGTTAAATATTGCTGAAAAATTAATTTTTTCAAGTATCCTAGGGTCCATTTAGGTAATTATGGACTCAATTATGGCAATTACAGCATACAAAAAATTACAACCATCTATACGAGAGCAGAAGTACCAAGGTCATAATATGGATATGAATTACATCGCTCACAATTTAGGCATATCTGTAAATTAAAAGCTTACTATTAGTAACAAATAAATAAATACAACAAATATGTTTACAAGCTTCTTTATTTCTTAAACAACCTAATTGATTTCACATTGATAATTAAATTCACCTGCGATTTGGATGATGAACATAAAATAAAATTCAAACAAAGATTCTTTCAAAAAATTCATTAGCCACTATAATATGGGCTCATACCCGAAAAATTGAAGAAAATATTATTTAATTTTTGAGAGGTAATTTTTTTTACTTTTCATACGATTTTTTAAAATTCCAAGACGATTATTTTTTACTGAGATACATTCATTTCTGTGAGCTTTTCTCGTATACTTTGCGTGTTACATTTGTTTTCTTACTTGAAAATTGATTTCTTGAGATTAAACTTCAAATCAAACCATCCTGAAAAATTGACATATATGCTTTTGATTGATTCTAAAGTTTTGAAGTTCTTTTCATTTTTTCATTTAAGATTTAACTATTTAAATCACAAAATTGCAAAGCTACAGGATGTGAAAATAGAGAATAATCAATATTTTGCGAAAAAGTGAACATGATTATTACCTTTATTCGTGGGGAAAAGTCATTATTTCTCAACATGAATCTTGAAGCCATTTTTCATTTTGAAAATCAGAGAATTTTAAATAGACATTATTTGAAATTTAAAAAAACAAAACTCAAATTTTTAAGATTAACGCTCCATTTAAGCCGAAAATTCTCATTTTAAATTGTATAATATTAAATTTTTTATAATCATTTTTAAAAATTATAAAACTTTGATAATAGTTTATGAAATTATTTTGCTTGTTTAATATTAATCGGAGATAGTATAGTGAAAAAGACGGGTCATATAATTAGTATGCGCGGAAATTTTTTCAAATAGGTCTCTAGGGCAACCAAAAAATATTCAATCCTAACTCTTAATAAAAATTTAATAGTAAATGAAACCAATTATTATGTATCGTTGTTTTTTGAACTTTTGGTATATTTGGTTTTGATTTGTATATATTATTATTACTTTATAAACTAAGTGTAGGATTTTTTATTTCAAATAAAATCGACATTTGTTCTATACGACTTGAGTTCTACTACCGAAGGAATTTATAATTAAATAAATGGTAATTTTAAAATTTTCGTAGGATTACGAGTATATAAGGTTCTACGTCGATATCAAATTTAAAATTATTTCAAATAGTTTTTATATTAAATTAGAGGAAAATGAATGATTCAAATTGTAATTACCACTCGATTATACTCGATTTTTACTTTAAATGATCAAATATTTTATCAATTTGAAACCTTTTATAATTATGAAATAATTAAAAAACTGAACAAATAACTTTAATTTTTAACATATTTTATTTTTTCAGCTTATAATTACAATAAAAAATGATATACAATTAAATTTTCCTTTTCAAACGAATGAAAAACCAAATCACTTACGACAGAAATTGAAATATAACATTGATTGGAATTATTGTTTATGTTCAATAAATTGTTCATATAAGTAATATGATATATATTTTAAAAATATATGAATGATTTTAAAGGTATCATTACGAGTGACAATGTGCGACAGATTTTTCATAAAATCTCAGACAAACAGCCATTTTGCGAGTTGTTCTTCACCGTATATAAGTGTGTGGAAACGACATAGCGCACAAGAAAGAAAAGTATATGTTTAAAATTGGTTCTTGAAGAATGTATATTACATATTGTAAAAAAGATTGCACAATGGGTTCGAAAAAATCTCTAAATCTTATATTTTTCTGAGTCATCAAAATTTCACGGATAGATTTCATAGAAAAATGGGGGCTGACTCCTGTCTTAAAGCCAAGGCAGGACTTACGCCCCCAACAAAATACCGCCGAAGAATTTGGAGAATTAAGGTACTTGTGATACTTCATTTCTATCGTAGTAATTATAAAAATTGATTTGAAATTAATAAAAATAAATGGAAACTTTGTTATAAAATATTTAACGAATATTGAATTTAACATAATGTTTCATCGCATGAAATAAATTTCAACTATGTTGTTTTGAAATATTATTTTTTCATGCATTAAGCTTTGATAAACTTAAGGCAACTTTTGAAGATTGTCAGATATTATTTGAAACACAAAGTGTCAAATTTTTATACTAATATTTCCAGATCATAATATGAACGATTGATCTTTTCTGTTGGGCATTTTTGATAATTATTAAGAGCTGTTAGTTCGGTTTAAATAGTATGTTAAATCATTATGTTTGAATTATTATTTAAATAAAAATGTTTTAGGAGAAATGTAAATAATTTTTGGTATCATTTTATTAAAAAATATTACAATAATAATGTAGTAGAAAATAATAATATTGTTTGAAAATATAAAAAGTAAAATTTTTTTTGGATCCTTAAACAATTAAATTATATTTTTATGACTCGTATATCATCATTTTTTTTACAATAAAAAAGTAAACAGAGTAAAATTTTGAAGGCTTTTAGACAAATTAATAGTACATATTTCATACCAGCTGCAATGTTAAAGTTGTTAATAGAATACATAACAATGATGTGAGCCATAATAAAAACATTGAAACATTAAAAACGTAAGATATTAATATTGATTTCAGAAACGTCATACATTTTTTAACCTTTGTTTGTAATTTTTAATTACTTATTGTTACCATTCATTACGTTCCTTTAAGTTTTATTATAAAAATAAAATAAGCCCTATGAATTTGTGGGTTCAATTTTACATGGATTCCAAGGTTGATATACCTAAATGGATATGAAGCTTAATTTTTACGTAGATTCACGAGTCAATTTCTACATAGAAATCTACCAGAAATGCAATTATATATGATAGTTTTATTGCATGTTACTAACTTTTTTTTATATATTTTCTTTGCCAGGTTAATTAATAGGTAATAATTAGAGTAAACGCATAATTCAAAATAAATCTGGAAATCCGAGACTATATAATCGTGCACACCCTGTGCGCAAAAACGCCTTTCGGACACTTGCTGCATAAATAACTAAGTCTTCTTCACGATGTAACTTTCGAAGTAATTAATAAGTCCTAAAGTTTTTGATCTTGAAGTAAAGTTTGGTTACTCATTTCTTAAGGGCTAACAGGGGGCTTGATTATTTTTCATTTTTTTTCATTTTTCAATTAAAGTGCTAGGCTGTAAAAGTGAAAAAAAAATTTTTTTTTTAAGAACACACATGATAACCCTACTCAATACCCTATTTTACCTCCCAACCCCCCAATTACCCTATTATAAGTACAGTAATAATGAGTGTGTTGACCCTCTACATAAGCTTTAAACACGTTTAAGCTACCTGTCGTAGAAATCCAAGAGCGAGCATCAATCTATTGTGACCTATGTGGTTTTATTTTGTTCGATAGCCAATTGGCCATGGTCGCAACCAAAAGCTAGATATAAGATGAACTGTATAAATTAATTTATGCGAAATGATTAAAAATGAAACTAAATCTTAGAAAATTGTACACACGAGTAGCTGCAGTTCATCTTATGTCTAGTTTTTGGTTACGACCATGACCAATTGGCTATCGAACAAAATGAAACCACATATGCTACTTTAGATTGATGCTCGCTCTTGGATTTCTATGACAGGTAGCTTAGACGTGTTTAAAGCTTGTGTTGAGGGTCAACACACTGATTATTTTTGTACTTAACTGTTTCTAAGTATCTAACTGGACAAAATACTTTCAAATAGGGCAATAATAGTATATTATGATACGTGTGACTTAAGCAGGCCATTATTGCACGGCACGGTTAGCACCCGAGCGAAGCGAGGGTGCTAGTGCCGTGGTAAGAATGGGCTACTTGAGTCATAAGTATCATATGCTTTTTTATAGCACTGTGCTAAATTCACGTTTAGGCCCCCTTTGACGAGATATAAGGTGCTCATAATAGCGTCGCGGTGCAATAATGAGCAGCTTAAGTCACGGCAAAGCGTGCCTTAAACGTGAACTTTAGCCACGCAGTGCTATAAAAAGGGTTATCATGTGTGTTCTTGAAAAAAAAATTTTTTCACTTTTACAGCCTAGTACTGTAATTGAAAAATGGAAAATAATTAAGCCCCCTGTTAGTCCTTAACATAATAAACAATAAATGCAGTTTATTTCAGTAAGGTTTACCCTCCTGTTAAAGTAAAAACTCAATCTACATATATAATACATCCACACACACGCACACCAGAAGGAATTTCTATCAGTAGTCCCACGGAGAAAGAACACAGGTAGAAAAAGAGGGTAGGTTTTAGTTAGTATTAACACTTTAACGCCCAAAATTGCAATTTTGCTCATAAATTTTCCATCACTTCAAGACAATACATAAAGTTTTCTCTCGAAAATTCATAGCGGGGAATTGCGGGTGTGCTCTTTCAGAATCCGGTGTTATTTTTGCAAACAACTAACAATAACATTGTTTGATCACTTGAAAAAAAACGTGATTTTTTACCTCTCCCTACTTTTGAAGGGCTCTAAAAACCCAAATAGTCGTGCAATTATGTCATAAACTTTTGAGATCGATTTTTTCAAAATTTTTCGTACCACTTTGGGAATATCGCTGCATTATTTAGATCTGCCATTTAAAAAACATAGGGGTTAAATAAAACGCATCGATAGATCGCAACGATATTTTTCTCGAAGGTTTACAACAAAATTTCCCGACTTTTTGGATTTCTATAGCACCCCGAAAGAAAGAAAAGGTTGAAAATCGACTTTCAAAAAAAATTTTAACTTAAAAAATCACGTTTTTTTCAATTGCATAAAAAACAACGATATCGTAAGTTTTTTTGCAAACATAACACTGGATTGTGAAAGAGTACACCTAAAAACCTCGTGATATAAATTTTCGAGAAAAAATTAACTTTATCTACGGTTTTGGAGTGGTGGAAAATTCATGCTCAAAATTGACATTTCGGGCGTTAAAAGGTTAATAGAGAAGCGCATATCAGTTTACTTAAGGTTACTCTTTACTTAAACATTTTTTCATACAAGGTCTTGAAATGTTGGGACAACGTTAATTAGTCATTTATTTATCTCCCTGCAAAATTTCAGACCCTGTTGTTATGCTAATTTTCAAGAAAAAGGCCATCGAAAATTGACATTTTAACACGGCGTGTATAGGCACACATTTACTTTCGGACCCTTCTTATTGAATATCTCGCAAAATATATCATACGGCTCTTCCAAAAACTGATAATATAGAGTTGAAAGTATACGCTTTCGATTGTTATATTAAAAAGTACATGTTGTCATGCTAATTATTGTAATATTTTCCCGAGAAAGTGAAATTTTACGGTCCGATTGAGGTTTTTTCATCTGCTGAAGAGAAGAGGGGACGCTTCCCAGGTGAAAATAGTATGTAAGATCTGACTTCAGATCTGGCATCAGATCTGGTATAAGACCTGACAAATGTACGCCAGATCTGACATCAGATCTGACATCAGATCTAATGTCAGATCTGAAATGACTGTATTGCCTCTAATTAATTAAACAATAAGTTTATTAATAATTAAAATTTTATAATAAATCTTAATAATAAAAGTTGTTGAATCAATTTAAATTCTCATTATCAGAAACCTAAATATTGTAGGAATTTTTCTTAAAGATATTATCGATGTGATTATTAAGATATAACTAAATTTGTTCTACGATTTTAATTGTTAATAAACTTATTGTTTAATTAATTAAATGCAATACAGTCACTTCAGATCTGACATTAGATCTGATGTCAGATCTGATATAAGTTCTGATGTCGATTATCGAATACAAGATCTGGTATCAGATCTGATGCCAGATCTGAAGTCAGATCTGATGCCAGATCTGAAGTCAGATCTCACATACTATTTTCACCTGGGTGCGCAACTTTTTTACGAGGGTTATCGCTGAAGGTTCATAGACTTATAATTTAATTTAAGTGTTTGTAAGTATTTAACTGGACAAAGTACTTTCAAATGGCGTATTGAAAAAGGCTCTTATGCCTGTTTTCTAAAAAAAATTTTTTTCACTTTTTTAGCTTAATATTATGAATAGAAATATATAATTATTTAAGCCCCCTTTGAGCCTTTTATGGGTGTGGATATGCTTTTTCTGCAAAACGAGGGGCTTTTTTTCTAACGAATTTTGCTGAAAAAGCTTATTCGCACAAGTTAGATACAATATCTTGTAACATTTCTATTTTTGAGCCTAAAACTAGCGGCAAAGTTGCGATTTTTAGGTTAGAGTGCTCAACAATACACAAACGATTCGTATCCAAAATATCCATGTGACGCTACGATGTCGTATTTGAATCCGTAAATGGATATCCTTCCTCGTTAAAAAAAAATAAACTATGTGACTTTTCGTTTGGTGAAATTTATTTAATTTGGCCTCTCTTTTACTTCGTTAATTCGAAATTTTCGATAATTCGAAATTACAGCCTGTATTTAGGATTTTGAATTATCGAAGTTTTACTGTATAGGGAAACGTCCAAAAAACATCTATGTAGCAGAAATGTTCTGCAGCGGTCCTCGCTGAAGTAATGTTTAGCGACGGAGTTCGATGAAGTACCAATTGGGGAGGAGGAAGAAAAAACATTCACGTGTTCTTCCACTGTCCGCGTTTCGGAAACGAAAGAGAAAGTCTCTAAAATACTTCAACGATTGGATCAAGCTGGAGAACATGGTTTGGCTTATCCTGGAAGACCTGAGGAGGATACAAAGAAGGTTACCCAGTGCATACTTTGTGTCAAAGAGGGAGAAGAATTTAACGATTTATGTATGAAATTGTTCAAGGATTCTTAAAAATGGTTGCATGAATGTAAAATCATCCAGCGTGTCTTCACATCTCCAGTCAAGCAAATGAGGGCATGATTTGACTTAAAAGTTTCTGCAATCTTAATCCATGGACACACGCATGTGCACACGCTATTGCGACGGGGAAACTTTGTGGGATGAAGAAATTTTTTACGCTGTTAAGTCAGCGTCTGCCCCAGGCGATAAAAAATGTCTTGAAGTTGCCGTTGGGGCTGAATCGTGATCTTTTCGAACATTTTCATAAAATTAAATTTTATAAAAATTTCTCAAATTTACTTATTTTTTGATTCATGTAGTCCAAACATACAATTCGAAATTAGTTTCAATAACGTATTTTCATTTAAAGCTGAATGACTTTTTAAATAAAAATTTATTATTATTGCAGATCATTGCCAAAATTATTGAGCCAAGACGATCTTGGGTATAATTCCTATAAGAGATATGCTGGTTTAACCCACTTCGAACCAATACCCCATGATCATGATTTTTGTGAAAGAGTTGTCATAAACGTAAGTAATAAACAAAGAATTACATCTTTTAATGGGGGCATAATGATTTTTTTTTTTTTGAAAAATATTTTGAATCATAAACACGAGAGAATAACATATCATCATGAGCTGAGAACAATTGTAGAAAAAAAGATTTTTTTAAGAAAGTTCTTTAGTATTAATTTTTTTTCACAAAATCTAAAATTATTTCTCACAAAGGTAGTATAAAAGAAGGTTATTAGTAGTGGCAAGAAATGTACTTTTTGACGATTGAATAATTAACATTAAAATACCTCAACCCGACTAAAGAAGGTCACATTGACTCGAATTTTAGACTCTATGTTATTCGTTTCTCGTCGCCCCAACGCAGGAAGGTATCGCTTCCAATTAATTCTACAGCATAAAGGATACTTACTCGCGCGCAGAGGCAAAAAGGTAGCTAATTTGAGAGCGGCACCAAAACAGTACCTTGTTCAAACGCAGTGGCAAGAAAGTTTTGACTCGCTGAATTGAAGTTGGTAACGCAGTCGTAAATAATAACATTTTTTTCTGTATTTGAGCAAAAAAGAAAAAAAACAAGTTAGCTAGTGTAATTATTTTCATCCATTTGTAATGCGAGCAAAGAAATCCATCTCACCGCAACTTCAACTCAATTTGCCACTTATGGAGTACTTTGTATGTTCTGAGAGAAAAGTAGAAGTGATCGTCTTTGAGTAACTTTGAATTGAATGTTTAATATGAAATGTTGAAACAAAATTTCCACGAAGAGTCCACGTACGTAAGCCTCGTAGATTTATGTGAAAATACTCGTTGATTTTTTATCAATCCACGAGGATTTGCACGGAAATCCTCGTTGATACTCGATCAACCCACAAGGATTTACGCGAAAATCCTCATTGATTTTCGATAAAACCACGTGGATTTCCGCAGTAATCCTCGTGGATATTTGATTATCCACGAGGTTTTTTGTGGTGAAATCCTCGTGGATTTTGAGTGAAAAAAAATGGTCAAGTGATTTTTTTTTAATCGAGAATTGTCAGTAATTTTTGAAATTATTTACTTAATAATTTAGATTATTTTTAAGATTTATATAAGATTTATTTACTTGTATACTTTAGAGAAGTGAAAAAGTTCCCCGAGACTTGGGCTTGAACCGGTGATCTGTCGGCCATAAGTCCAGCTCCCTACCTATGAGAAGTGTTCAAGCTTTTTTTTCATGTTCTTTTAATATCTTATTATATTTATAGTACCACAATAGAAAAACTAGTTGTACAATATAATCACAATTTTAAAATCTTGCTTTCGCTCTTACTCTGGATGGGTACTAGCTTAGGACTCGAACTCGGCGATGACTTTCTTCGGGTAGTCGTAATTTTTTATGATCGCGAGTACCCGAAGAAAGTCATCGCAAAGTTCAGTTCTGACCTGGAGCCAAAAATAGGCCACCTGGCTCACACGAAAAATTCAACTACCTGAAGACGATTTGGCATGATTTTACCCTGATAATTTACCTGATTTTTCACCTGATTTTTTCCAGCAGGATTATTCAATTATCCTCGCGGATCAGTTCAAAATCCGTGACGGTTCACTGACGAGACCTCGCGGATCCTTCGAGCGTTCTCGCGAACAAGTCCGAAATCCACGAGGATTGAACAAAAATCAACGTGGATTAATCAATTATCCTCGTGGATCAGTTCAAAATCCGCGGTGATTCACCGACGAAACCTCGCGGATGCTTCGAGCACGTGCTCGCGAACAAGTCCAAAATCCACGAGGATAGAAAAAAATCATCGTAGATCAGTAGAAAATCCGTGGTGATTCGCCGACAAATCCCCGCGGATGTTTCGAGTGCGTGCTCGCGAGCAAGTTCAAAATCCACGAGGATAGAAAAAAAATCAGCGTGGAACAGTGGAAAATCCGTGGTGATTCACCGACGAAACCTTGCGGATGTTTCGAGCGCGTGCTCGTGAACAAGTTTAAAATCCACGAGGATAGAAGAAAAATCAGCGTGGATCAGCGTGGAGATTGCATTTTTTTCAGCCCATGATCAATCCACGAAGAATCCCTGTACAGTCCACGAGGATTACAAATCCTCATGGATTTCTACGTGGATATCCATGCAATTATTTTCAACTGGGATTTTATTCATTGTAATAGTTATTAAGCAAAAATCAATAAATTCAGTTTGCCACGAGCGCCGAAACTAACGGTCTCGCACGATCGTTACTCATCCCCATTTTGGACCTGTGCAGACCGACTATAAATACAGGCCTCGTCGGAGTCTAATTTATCAGTCGATCCAAGACAGTCGTACGTGTTACATAGGTTCTTCAGCACTTATTTCACGCATTGCCTTCAGTATGTCAGAATCCCCTATATCTAGTTATATTACTAGATCTAGTTATTAAATTCACCAGTTGGAAAAACTGGGTTAAATTTATCAGTTGGAAAAATCATTATATGAGATTTTTCCTGATTATTTCAAAGCGTTTTCTTGATTTGACTGGGATTAGAATTTTTTAAGACCAAAAAACCTATACAATGAAATTTTTTGTGCTACCCCAACCTAAAGTAACATTTTGCTCCCGCTGAGCAAAACCAAAATGTTACTTTAGGCTGGGGGATTCACAAAAAATTGTATTTGCACCTATGTAGCGAAAAAAGAAAGTCTCAGAGCACGTAGAATTTATCAGTCGAGGCAAAGCCGAGTTTTTTACTCCCTAGGTGCAAAATATACAATTTTTTAATTACACTAGCTAGATTTGACTTTCAAATGGTCTTCATTTTAGATATTGTTACAATAATAATATGTGATCGCACATACCGAAGCAGCTGGGGTGGGGCGAGGTACTCGCGGCTCGAGCGATGTGCAAAATAAAGCATTATAAGCCGCAGTAAGTACGTGGATGGGTGACCGCCAGGGAACCCATTCCATCAAGCGCATAGCGCCCTCACGCATCGCTTATCTGTGTTTGCCAGCGTCATCATGTGCTAGCGGGAGGTGCCATAAAAGCACCGACCAACTCCGGTATGGGTTTTTCTCACTGAGTTATTCCCTATATCACGGGTATAACCCCGGGCAAATGCGGAGATGGATGGAGGGAAAGAAAGGAAAAAGGATAGGAAAAGGTTAGGAAAAAAAAGGATAGGAATACGGAGGGCCAAATAGGCTGAAAGTGTATAAACCCCCCCAATAAAAAAAATATGTGATCACATGAGATCTATTTCGATTTTTGTATCGAATTCTCTTCCATAAATAAACTGTATGGGTTTTTTTCAATAAAAGATTCAAGAGACGACTAATTTTGGGGAGAACATACTATTCAATGCTACGAAAAAATTTTATTCGCACATCTTGCTAGCCGTACCTAAATAGATATGTATCTGTAAGTCCGCGTCTCAATGAGAATGAAACAAAATTAAACCAATAGAACAATGTACTCTTGCTCAAGTTAAGTTAATTATTTATGTCACTTTGCAATGTGACTCTACTCCTTTATAGTCGGGGTGAACAATAGTGCGTGCTGCAGTACATGCATGCAATTTTTTTACGTACTTGTGCGTTGCTATAGAAACTGAAATAGAATAAAAATAGAAAAATAAAATACGTTTAATTCAATATAAGGTGTTGAAGGAGATAAATATAACAATGTAACGCTCTCCATTGTAGTATATTTTGTAGATAGATAATTTTCTTTCATCTCACTGTTACTGTTATCGTTTACAGGTTAGTGGATTACGGTTTGAAACACAACTAAGAACTCTCAACCAGTTTCCCGATACGTTATTAGGGGATCCATCTAGAAGAATAAGATACTTTGATCCACTTCGTAATGAGTACTTCTTTGATCGTAACCGTCCATCATTTGATGCTATTCTATATTACTATCAAAGTGGTGGTCGATTGCGGAGGCCAGTAAATGTACCCTTAGATGTCTTCTCTGAAGAAATCAAATTTTATGAGTTGGGAGAATTGGCAACAAACAAGTTTAGGTAAGTAAAAAGAAATACTGTCTCCCATTTTAGTAAGCAGATATTTACATTGTTTTTCCTCAATTTTAACATTTTTTTTATAATCTCTAGACATCATAATGATAAGGACCCAACTTGCAAAAAGATTTTTCGGGAGATACTTAAGGATGTTCAAGCAAAAACGCGTTTGTAAGCTACGGGACTAAACTTTGGAAATTTTGGAAAATGATTCTCTACAATCATAAAAATTGATTGCATAAAAAATATTTGTTAACGACCTTATTTGAAATATATATCAATGTAAAGTTAATTTAACATGGGTTCTTGTGGGAGTACTTAAATTTTAGTCATATTTTAATCCATCGTGATCATAAACCGTGAGAATTTAGAAACGTTATTAATTCATTGTAAAGAAAAAAATCATTAGCTTTTGAACGTTAAAAAAAATTAAAAGGAGAGCTCTTCAGCTCCAGGTCACAGATCTTTACCAAACTTGCTTGGGGGTCTTTTGGTTCATAATAATGAAGCCCTGTATGGCCAGTTTGATATCATAGACCCTGGGAAATATTATGAAGCATGAGCATAATGAAGTTATTAATATTAAATATTGTTAAAAAATACCATGTATTAGCGCATCATGGTATCAGGCTTACACAGTCAAGACAAACTGGATAAAAAGTATTTGTACTTTTACTTTTTCATATTTTGAATACTTTATCAGTGTCGGATTATCGGTAGACATGGATTCGTCTACCCAGTCCATGGCCCGGGCTTCATTGGTAGCGTCCGCAGATGCCCAGTTAGTGTCGTCGGTGTCCTCGTTTGATGGCGGTAGCAAAAGCGTCATTGCCTGTACGGCTGTACTGGTTTACTGGGTTCCGCTTGTTGCTCTTGGTCAATACTCTTGTTCGTCACAGTCAGCGTTGTGAAAAACTTTTCTGAACAGGGCTGCTGCTGTCGTCTGCCTTCACTGTTTTATCCTCCGACGCAGTTCTGCCAACTTAGGTGGAGGCGGTAAAATAAACATTTTTACTGTGCAGTTATGAACTCAACAGAATTTATCAAAATGATTTTCGTTTATACACAATCATATATACGACGGAATTATTTTATAAGAATTATGAATCTACTTCTTTATAATTTTGATGACTTATATGGTTCCATTGATTTTTCAATAAAACATTTGTAGTGTAGTGGCCGCTTATTATTTCCAGGCCATACTGGCTGACTATACTTTTTATTTAGTAATAATTATTTCTAAAAAATATGTCTTCATGCCTGAAAATAGAAAAAATTTTATATTTTCTATGACAAAGAGTGTGATGAAAATAATTTAGTTCAAACGTACATAAAAAAATTTAAATTCAATGTGTTGGGAATTGTTATTAGAATTAATCATCATTATAAAATCTATTAATTGCTAAAATTAAAATTTGTGGTAAATGACGAATTTTATTTATCACAGAGTAAGTTTCACGTGTTGAGCAGTATACACACAACATTATTTCGACGCTGTTAAGGAAGAGTAGCACGTTTTTATACATTTTTAAATGTAAACGTGCTAGTCTTCCTTAACAGCATCGATTTGAGTTCTGCCGCCTACGTTTGAGTTGGCAGCATCAGGTCAGATGATAAAACAGTCACGGCAGACGACAGCGGCAACTGTTTTCCGGAAAGTTTTTCACAACGCTGGTCACAGTCACAATCTTTGGCTTGGCTCCCATGCGCTCATACTTGGTCGAGTCAAGCACGTGTGGTTGGCGTAACTGCTGAACGTTGTCTGGTGCAGGAATCTCTGTCGACTGCTGAAGTGGCTCAGTAGTGACAGAGTCTTCTTCCATAGGGGTCTCGATAGTGATCTTCTGGACTTCGGCAGCAGCGGCGCATAACTGACAGGCTATAGTATTCGTCTCTGTTTTGGTAGCTAACTTCTTCAATTAGCTTTTGACTGTTCGACTTGGTACAAGTGAGAACAGAAAAGTGGATCGACTTTTGACTGTCCAACTTTACAAGTTGGAACAGAAAAGTGATCGGATTTTTTGGTTACTCAACTCTCACGAGTCAAGTGACAGCCGAGCATCCCGAACCAACAACGACGTCATCGTCCATCCAACCATCACCTCCTTGGAGAAGACTGACCTTGCTGAGGACTACTCATCAGCGGCATACGGTCGCCGCCGGTCACAGCCAGCCATCCCACATAAATTGACAGCCTGCATCTAAAGCTAGTCGTTTTCAGGACTAAGCGTAGAGTTTGCAAAACTTGTAAACGAAGAGGCGACAAATAACATCGACCCTCCTTAGGTAATGAGGAACGACCCCCCATCATGTAATAAAACGTATAAAATTTTCTTCTCGGGCTCAATCACAGTTTTTGAATTATTTTGTGGAATTTAGTTCATATCGCCCTCGGTTCGTGATGTGATCATACTTTTTACGGAAGAGTTACAGTCATAGGATGGCGGGCTTAGGTCACAAATGATATAAAATAGCTTACGTATTAAATAAATAAAATATATTTAAATTAAATTTAAAACTTTATTAAGTTATCAAAGAACGGAACATCTTTTAAATACAATAAAGTGTTTTATTAATGCAATCTAATCTTGTCCCTCCACGTATGTACTTGACTGAAACCCATGGTGACGCTTGAGTGCTGTAATGCTTTCTCCATCATTCATAAACATTTTTGTAGAAGTTCTGCAAAATGAGCTGCGTGTGTACGATGAAGGATCCGGCAATTCCAAGATTGTTGCGATTTCGGTCGAGAAGTGACTGATTTGATTGATTCCAAACGGATGTTGGTCAAGGCATTTTCCAAAGCGCATACGTAAAAAAAACGGTCACCTTTCACAATGTCTTTCCGAATGTTGAAATATTTCTGATAAGCCTAGTAGTATCTACCGTCAATAATGATCTTTCGTTCGTCGGTGTTTTTTGATATTCGAACGAGTAACTCGGTATGATTATCATCCACATTTAAATTTTTAAACAACTTAACTCTTTAGTTGTACATGCACCTTTAATTCCAAAAATTAAAATTACTTTCTTTACGAGATTTTTGCCGTTGTCAGCCAGTACACAGTATCGATCTACTTCAGCAGACGTAAAAACCCTCCTTTTTAAAATTTAACAGCAAGTTTTTCAAAAAGGAATATATGTTCGGTGCGGTGCACAGTGCGCAGTTGACTGACGCGTATCTTCTTCGTAGACTTCAGCTGTATACTAGACACGCACCAACTCGATTTGTTTTGAAGTACAGTAACTGCCAGAGAAACAAAGAAGCGCGCAACGAAGTGTTGTTATATATATTACTGTATTGTACAGGGCATGTTGTAATAATCGTCATACAATTACAGTCATAGGATGGCGGGTTTAAGTCACACATGCTATAAAATAGCATACGATACTTATGACTTAAGCAGACCCATTATAACACGGTGCCAGTGCCCTCGCTACGCTCGGGCGCTAACGGAACCGTGTAATAATGAGCTGCTCAAGTCACTCATATCATAATATACTATTCTTACGAAATGATTTTTACGTTAACTTTTTTTTAATAACGTTGGTTTAAATTTGATTTTTTAAATTAATTTTATGTTTCAACTTTAAATATACTTGAATTTATAAAACATTGTTATTTATAAGTAATAAGTCCTTTTTTCTTACAGGGAAGATGAAGGTTTTATAAAAGAAGAAGAAAAGCCTTTACCATCTCACGAGTTTCAGAGAAAAGTATGGTTATTATTTGAATATCCCGAAAGTTCTCAAGGAGCAAGAGTTGTAGCAATTATCTCAGTTTTTGTGATTCTTCTGTCAATCGTTATATTTTGCTTAGAAACCCTTCCAGAATTTAAACATTATAGAGTATTCAATACAACTACAAATGGCACGAAAATAGAAGAAGATGAAGTACCAGATATAACCGATCCATTTTTTTTAATTGAAACCATATGCATTATATGGTTTACTTTCGAATTATCAGTTCGCTTTTTAGCTTGTCCGAACAAACTGAATTTTTTTCGAGACGTGATGAATATAATTGATATAATCGCCATAATTCCATATTTTATAACATTAGCTACCGTAGTAGCCGAAGAAGAAGATACTCTTAATTTGCCAAAAGCACCCGTTAGTCCTCAAGATAAAAGTACAAATCAAGCTATGTCACTTGCAATTTTACGTGTCATCAGATTAGTCAGAGTCTTCAGGATTTTCAAACTCTCAAGGCACAGCAAAGGATTACAAATCCTTGGAAGAACATTAAAAGCATCCATGAGAGAGTTGGGACTGCTTATATTTTTTCTTTTTATTGGTAAGATAAAAAACTCAGTAGTTATATGTTTATCTCATTTTATTTATGGCTTTAACGAAATTTAATATTCACTAGCATCCCTCCCTATTCGCAGTTCATGCGCCATTGAAAAGAGCCACGAATGGAAAAACTGCGAATACAGAGGGGTACTGCTTGGGATACTTGCGAACCAAAAATTATAAATATTGAAATTAATGTTGTATTCATACAATTCATTTATTGTTTCTCTTTGTCAACATTGAACAAATCGGTAACGCGCGACAGTTTAGCTAGTCTACAAGCATCTCTATACAATTCTGTGTACGGATCAAGGGCTTTTTCAGTATCATGTTTGAAATCTTCCGATTCGTTAATGTCTGTAAATTCTTTTCCTCCGACATTTCTTTTTATGATTACTGTTTCTTGAACTATGAAAGTCACATTATCAGTTACAGTAGAATTTTGGAGCACGTATTCAGGTAACAACTTAGCATAACATCTATAGAGAGTTATTTCTGATATTTTTTCCAACACTCGCTTGCAAGAGTAAGAGAATTCAGGATAGAACATTTTTTCCAACAATTTTTCACTACATTTGTCGTTTCGTGATTCTTGTGACTACAGTTAGTATGATTTACAGCATTTAACATATCCCTGATAATTTTTCTCATAAATATGCATTGAAAATCAGAATCACCGTGGTCGGAATCACTGGAATCAACCTGGATTACTTGAGGTTACTTAGATTGACATATTTAATCATTAAAACTGTTGGAAATGGGTCGACTTGGGGTTACTTGGATTAAGGTTTTTTAGTATCTAGCACTGGGTTTCTGCTTGAGTAATCAGCTTTTAAATTATCCTTTCCCGAGTAATATATTATCTCAAGGTCATAATAATGACAGATAGTAAGTGAAAGCACCTCCCAGGTGAAAATAGTATGTCAGATCTGACTCCAGATCTGGCATCAGATCTGGTATAAGATCTGATAAATGTACGCCAGATCTGATACCAGATCTTTTATTCGATAATCGACATCAGAACTTATATCAGATCTGACATCAGATCTGATATCAGATCTAAAGTGACTGTATTGCCTTTAATTAATTAAACAATAACTTTATTAATAATTAAAACTTTATAACAAATTTAGTTATATTTTAATAATCACATCGATAATACCTTTAAGAAAAATTCCTACAATATTTAGGTTTCTGATAATGTGAATTTAAATTGATTCAACAACTTTTATTATTAAGATTTATTATAAAATTTTAATTATTAATAAACTTATTGTTTTAAATAATTGAAGGCATTACAGTCACTTCAGATCTGACATTAGATCTGATGTCAGATCTGATATAAGTTCTGATGTCGATTATCGAATACAAGATCTGGTATCAGATCTGATGTCAGATCTGGTGTATATTTGTCAGATCTTATACCAGATCTGATGCCAGATCTGGAGTCAGATCTTACATACTATTTTCACCTGGGCTAATTCTTCGTCAGTTCTAGCTTTTATATTCATTTTTTCGAGTTGTTTGTAATCTGAAAATACCGTGAAATGTGTAAATATAAGCCAGTGTTGCCAATACTTAACCGATTTTTTTAATGCCATAAGGTATACGTCCCTACTTTCGGTCATGTCCCTACATTCGAGCAATAATTAATGTTAACAACTTAATTGTACGTAAGAATTTTTTTTTTTAATTGGCTGAATGGGTCGAAGATCTTCAACGGAAATATATTATTAAAATTCAGATATCAGGTTTCAATCCTATATAAAAAATTAATTCAAAGTTGACCCTAAAATAGGGGCGTATACTTTACATTCTAAATATATTGCATTTTGATGTGAAGCATCTTTAGTGGCGTTAGGCATGAAAGGTAAACCTTTGGAAAACGAGCGGTACATGAAAAGTGATTAATTATTTTTTCTTTCATGATAGTGTGGGTAATTCGACCCAGCTAAGCAGTAGATTGTTATGTCGTGTACTAATGCACAGAAATGAACTACACAACACGTTAGATATTTATGAGTCTTTATTTTGAAATACTACGAAATACGTGTGCTCTCGTTCACAGTCTGTGCGCATCTGACGAGCCCTCGTGGCTCAAGTGCCTGCGTGGCTTATCAGAGCGCATACATTCTTCGGCTAATGCCGATATATTACATAGATGATAGCAACGGTTCCAGCGCCAGCTCGGATCTATAGGCAGGTGGCGTTGCGATCAGTGTAGACGCGCGCTTAAATGCCAGCGACAACGTCGAGCATTATAACTACAACATATATTTATTTTTTTCATGTAAATTATTATTTAAGTCGAATGAACTAAGTAAATGAATATAATGAATTTTTTTATGGAGTAATTAAACTATTTTATTAATTTAGAATCAATAAATTATGTGAATAACCTCAATAATATAAATGGGTCAAAATAATACTTTTTTACAAAACCGTGCGCACGTATGTCACCGATCTTGACGCGCTTTTGGTATATTATAGTACATGGTAAAAAGGTCCCAAAAAAAATTGTTAGACCCCCTCCCCCCTCCTACCCCCACTTCCGGTATAAACGTCCATTTTCGATCTATATTTTTTCTGAGGACATGAAACAATTAAAAAATCTGAAAAAATTCACAAAAATACTTTCCAACAATCCAAACAACCTTGAATTTATTCAGATTTTTTGTGCTTCAGGCCTTCAGAAAAATTCATTGAAAATTCTGAAAATCGAGTTTCGGCGATATGAGCCGATATAGTAAACGGAATTTTTTTCAGTTTATTTTCGCATTGAAAAACATAACTTCAATTTTTTTCAGATTTTTTCAGATGACCTAACGCACCTTTTGAATCCAAAAACCGCTTTTTTCAATAAAAATAATTTTTTTAGAACGGTACGGAGCCTCGAAAAATCTGGAAAAATTTTTTCTCTTTTTTTTTATCAAAATACATAACCTCAAATTTTTTCAGATTTTTTAATTGAAGGCGATAGCTTCTAGAGCCGAAAAATGCTATTTTTAACAAAAAAAGGTTCCTAGAACCCGATGGTTCTGGCGAAAAAAAATTACGTACGATTATCGGTCGATTTTCTTACGTAAGAACTTATGTAAATTCTTACCTGGACTTTTTGTACAGTTTTTTTTTTTAAATTGGGAATCGTCGGCCATTTTTGAAATTATTCACATTATTAATTAGAGTTTATTAAATTGTAGACATTATGGCGGTGAAAAAGTTTCCCGGGGCCTGGGATTGAACCGGTAATCAGTCGGTCACAAGGCCAGCGCCCTACCGCTTGAGTCATTCATTGGTTATGCAAGAGCCATAAAAAAAGTTTTGGATTTGGCCTCGGCGGAGCTGTCGGCACGTGCCGCGGCGCAACGCCATCTCTCGCCTCGCAGTGGGAGTTACGCGCGGGTCTGCACACACGTGAACGTGTGTGTGTACAGGCGTGCGTGTGTTCTGCCCTGTTCGAATATTTCTCGAACAAATACTAAATTCAACGAACTCTCTTGCAAGCCAACATTATATAGTCCTCCTCTAACGTGGTCCAGTGATGCCCGAGCACATACATTTAACCATAGCTTTTATTCTTATTTAAAATTTCCTTATTACTCGATAGAACTCTCGAAAGCAAAAAAACTTTGATGACATCAATCTTAATAGTTTCAATAGAATATGATGATAGAATCATATAAAATAGATAAATATGTTCAAGATTTGCTTAACACATAGTTATATATTTTCAGGAGTCGTACTTTTTTCTTCAGCAGTTTATTTTGCTGAAGCTGGGTCGGAGAATTCTTTTTTCAAATCTATTCCAGATGCTTTTTGGTGGGCTGTAGTAACCATGACAACTGTTGGATATGGTGACATGACGTAAGTTTATATTTTTCTACTTATACAACATTACAAAGATAAGCATAAGTTATTTCTTTAAATTTATGTGTTACATTTAAATTACAGACTCTCGATTGAATTAATAAAAAATTAGGCACTTTTAAAAAATTCATCTGTGAAATATAGGAAAATATAGTGAATAGTTACAGCTCGACTCTGTTTATAGATTATAATATAGCTGGATCTTTCACAAGATTAATTGTTACAAATTTTTCTAAATTAAATTAAAATCTGAATGTAATTTACCTCTAGAAATTTTCTGCATTGATTATCATTTCATTTTTTATTAAGAGGATCTCGTTATCATATACTAAGCATTTTGCTACTGAATTCATTGTAATTTTATTTAGCTTGAATTCGATTTTTCTACCATTAAATACTATTAAAATTAGACATTGTCACCCCGGCGCAGAAAAGTATCTCTGTAAGGGGAATAGTACACCAATTCTATCCTCTTTGGCATTTTCATGATATTAATCACAGATTAATTTCAATCAACATTTTTAACATAAAATTGACATCTTGAGCCCTAAAAATGTGGAAAAAGTTGAAGAGAAGGCTTTTGCATCTAAACGAAGCTTATTTTTGCTATTTTAGCATTTTGGCACTGTGCGCAAGGTTCATATCAGAGTTTTATAGGTGGTGACTTCTGGTTCGGAGATGTGAAAAAAAGGAAAAATTAGAAAATTTATTCATGTTTTTGAACACATATTGAATAATATGTGAACAAACTGATATAAAGGTCTATATCAAAATTCCACAAAACTCAATCCATGGGGAGTATTCTCCTGAAGATTTTGCTCCGTCCCAGGAATCATCACCTATAAAACTCTAATATGAACCTTGTGCATAGAGCCAAAGTGCTAAAATAGTAAAAATAAGGTATTTTTAATTGCAAAGGCTTATTCTACAACTTTTTTCACATTTTTTAGGCTAAAGATGTCAATTTTATGTTGAAAATGTAGATTGACATTAAACTGAGATTTCTATCACAAAAATGCCAAAGAGGAGTGACTAGGTGTACGACTCCCCTTGAATTCACAACTTCGTATTACAAAGTTAAGCAGTACCTTACTTGTATAATGCAAAGTAGAAACGTGACACCTTTTTACCTCTGACCTTAAGAGGCTAAGCGAAGAGCCTTAAGAGGCTTCAAACAAAAGGGAGTTGAGGTTCTAACGCTACAGACAGAATGTACATCATTTTGAGAAAATGAAGGTATGAGTTTAGATGGAGGGGATTGACTCATATGGACACTTAAATTTTGGACAGTTAGATTAAGGTAACGGAGACGGTTACATAGTGATCTTGTTTCTCGAAGTAAATGATGTACGATTTTAGGCCATAAAGAACTTAAAGAAAGCTGGGATTCATCGCCAGCATTAAACAGAGCTTTATTATAAATTCTGGAAAGCGTATGGGACTGAGCTATGAGTTTATTGTCAAATTATCATTTTATTTGTGAATTCATACGGAAAATTAAAACGAAAAATCTTTTCCTCACTATTTATCAGAAAGTAACTTTTTGGAACTTCATCCCTGATGCAATCGATGCTCAATGCAGTTCAGATTGATGGGATTGAACGTTCCAATTTCTAGATAATGCTCAATATACGTTACACACACATGCACGCACGCTTACGCACGAGCTGCTTATTGCCCTAGTGGGTTAAGGCGTCAAGCTCCCTGCTAAGCAAATGGTTGTTGCCCAGAGCGTTCGATCCTCACTGAGAAAAATATCATTTAAAATTTTTCGCCTGGTGAGATCGAATTCGGTCTTTCAGTGGTTAAGATTCCACTATATATATACAGATACAGAATCAAGATTGAGGAGTCAGCCCTTAAGAGCATGGGAATCCCGATCAAAATGTAGCGCTGGAAGCTAGAACCATGTTCACAAGATGGCATGGCATAGTGAAGAAGGAGGACCCATAAATAAACGATCCTTAACCCGTAAACACCACTATGCAGTGGCGGGTACATGTATGAAAATTACGAGACATCGATGTATCAGAAATGCTCTGCCTCGGGTCCCCACTAGTGCAATGTTTCATGATGGTATTAGTGGGACCGAATGAGTGGAAATTAGGGGAAGGAAAAAAAAATCCGTGCACATTCTTGCAGAAGAAAAAAATGCGTAAACTGAGTTATCCTACGACGTCTGATTAAAAAACTTGTTTTCGAGCCTATCACAGAGCTTCTTCTTGGAGAAAACAATTGTTAATACTTTCAACTTAGGGGCTGTCCATAAATTACGTAATAAAGTATATTACTGCCCTAGCACGGAAAAAACAGAAAAGTCCCAGGGTATGGGAAATAAGCGGCCGTGGCGAAGCCGAGGTCGATTAGCACGAGCAATGGGGCTTTCTTATTTCCCGGTATAGGCCAGCATGCTATTTTACATACCCTGTGGCCCAAAAGTAGCAATATCCCCTTTAGTGCAGCGCCTGGGAAATGATCGGGCCGCTGGTATGTATATACTTTTGACCCTTCCCCCCCCCCCCCCCAACCATGTAAACAACAGTAATACTTGGAGACCCCCCCTCAATGTAGAAATAAAAAATGTATTCAATAAAAATATAAAAATACGTAGAACGAGTGATTTATTATAATTGAAATGTATTTTGGCTTTGGCTTACATCGCCCAAGCTGATGGAGAAATAGAACTGCTAACAAAGATTAAAACAAAATTCAAGTGAGAAAAATCAAGTCTCATAATGTACATAAAATGTGCCAAAAATCACCATACAAATGACTGCCCCGTGAAGGATAATATAAATCAAGTCATTTTTAGAGGAAACTGTTAATGGAAGATGGCCTGGGTAATTCTAGTTGTAAAGCTCGGAAAATCACTCAAGTAACTAACAGCTTACCACCCAAATATTATTATTGAAGATATAAAAACTTACCATAAGTCTGGCTCGAAGATTTGCTCTTTAAAACAAAACAAAAAACTTCCTAAAATGTATCCAGGAGTTACTTACAACTTACGTCGAAAGAAGAACTTTCTAAATAAGGATAAATCAATATTTTACAGATAGCTGTAAAATGCTGTATCTGATCTATACAGTTGACATTCCCTCTACTGAAAATGTACTGATGGTTACATACGCAAAGGAAACTGCCCACTACCGTGAACACAAACGTGAATCCCAGAAGAGCCTGCAAGAACTTGTCACTCCACTTGCAGAAAATAGAAACTAGGTTAAAAGACTGGCGAATTAGTATCAATTAAACAAATCGCATTCAATAACAGTTACCTTACGCAAAGAGGAGTGTCCTGGTGTAAAGATTAATCAAACTTCTATATCTTGCCACACGGCCTTCTACCCGAATGCCGAGTATTACCCGAAGCCGTGTGCAGGGTACACTAACACTACCAAATTTTCTATTCAACACGACACTACGACCCCGCTCGCTGCTTCTCGAACTAGGGTCCCTCCATTGCGCTCGGGTGAAGGGCGCTGGGTGTCGCCAAGGAGACGAGGTGCACAAGACCAACTGGGTGGTCTGTGCTTCGCCACTCAGCTAACCACGCCAGCTGCACGCTGCAAGGACAAAGTCCAGCGCGTGCGCTAGCCTACAACTACGTCGCCACTCAGCTAATCCTTCACACACACCAGGTAGAATGGTGCAGTTCTTACAAGCGCACCAGGTCGACCCTTGATCAACTCAACACTCAACCCGAACACAATCACGCGAGTAATCTCAAGCGTACAACACACTCACACAATATACGATACCAGACCCTTACACTTGTTCACTGTCGTCGCTGTAGGATGAAATGTTATCTCTTGAGCTGCTAGGACTCGAATGTCGATCCGCGCGCTCGATCTCAGCGCTCTCTCGTCGCTCGTGCTCGCTCGCCGCTGCTCGTACCGCCGAGCTCGCACACTGACACTCCTGACTCACTTCAACGTGATCAGCGCTTAACCGCTGCGCGTAAGCCGGTGCGCCTCGCGGTGCAGCTCGGTTCGTTCGCTCTCTCTCGCACTCACAGCATGTATTGCCAGCGCGCCCAAGTCGCAGCTGGCTCATGCATACACACACATACCAGCAAAACTTTCGCGTTTCAAGCCGCAGCGAGTTCGCACACATGCACCTTACACGCTTCTTTCTGGCGAGCTAAAAGCTGCAGCCAAAATCGATGAGGCCACGACGCGGCAATCTCAAAGTCCTATAGTTAAATATCTTGGTTTGAATCTAAACCTTCGTTTCAGCTAGAAACCACACATGTGGTCAGAAAAAAAGAAATCGGGTTTAAAGTTATGCAAAATTTACTAGTTGCTGGGTATAATATGTCATACTGAGGGGGCATATTATAACTCAATTGTAATAGCTGAGTGACAACTGATTTCTGGCTTGGTGGTTTGTTTCTGGCAACGTACAGCTGAGAAAAGAAGAAATAAAGCCAGAAGGAGAAGACTGGGCCTAGCTTTTGAAGCAGATTTCATTTGTTTCTGAGATAGCAGGCTCTATCATAATTTTTTAACACGCAATTGCAGCGTGCCTATAATATAATAAGTATTATAGGCACGAAAATATGTTAGATGTGTGATTTTAGTGATAGATTCCGGGGTTAACCGAATTTTCATAATTTTGTAAACGTCTTTTCTGCTGATACCGTGTTCTCTTTATTTTTTTGTAAAAAACGCATACGACTTATTATATCATATAATTATATATGTGATTTTTTTTATAACAGTCCAGTTGGAGTATGGGGTAAAATCGTTGGCTCATTGTGTGCTATTGCTGGAGTTTTGACAATCGCCTTACCAGTCCCTGTAATTGTCTCAAATTTTAACTACTTTTATCATCGAGAAACTGATCAAGAAGAAATGCAATCACAAAACTTCAATCATGTAACAAGCTGCCCATATCTTCCAGGGGCTTTGAGTAAGTATAAAAACATTATTAGCACTTTTAAATTATTTAAAGGTAACAAATTATGTTCTACCGAAAGAATTTTGCATAAAAAGTAGACAGGATCTAAAGTCCTGTAGTCCTAAAGTAATTTTTTTTGTTCTTTCTGCCTATTATACGATTCCACTTCACTGGAGATCACGTAGCCAAGCCCACCTGGGCGATCATCTGCTGCTCGAGTACAAGCCCTCCTTAACCACAGACTGCTCACTCGTGCACACACACTTAATTACTTCCTCACCATCGGACACTTGGCACTGACACGACACTGCGGGAGTAACCTCCAAACTTGTTGCCTTTGCTCGTGCGATTCTGCTAGCCGTCTCTCTCGCACACATACACCCCCGCACGTGCTGTTGTTGTCATCGCTTGCTGAAGCTACTGCTGCCGCGCAAACCTGCAATTCGTAAAGAACATGCACACGAGATTTTACGGTCTGCTGACTGCCCGCTTCTTGTGCCCCGTCACAACATTTATTTATAAAAAAATTAAATCCAAGGAACGAGAAATAATATCTGTTTCACACTCGATTATATTCAACCACATTTGAGTTTCCGCCTCTAAAGGTCGAAACATCTGTTTATGCAAAATTTTAGGCCATTTTAATAAAATTTTAATCATTGCCATGAAAAACTCTATATAATCCTTAATTACATTACATTCATCATTCAATGTGAATTCACCATCAATTATCATTCGCAGGTCAAAATTTGAAACGAAATTCTTATTCTGAATCTTCATCAGATATTATGGAATTAGAGGAAGGAATTTTATTGAAGCGATCAGGAATCTTGCGTAAATCAAACTGTACTTCTTTCAATAATAACGTTAATCTTGGTTGCATAAGCATAGAGACTGATGTTTAAGGTAAGTTATAATCCATTTTAATAATGTCTCCCGGGTTATTTTTTTGAAACGTACTCACTTGTTGCTCATGTTACACTTTAAAGGATTTATTTTTCAGTGTAACATTTCTCAGGTGAAAAGTCTTACCTGAATTTAATCGTAGCGGAAATCTATTTTTTCTTAACAATCGGAGATAATTTGAGTTTCAAAAAACGCTTTGCAAGTCGCAATAAGAGTGAAGCTTGTGTTTACGTGCTATAAAAAAGGGTGTATTACATTTAATTCATATAGTAGAACAATTTCTTATAATCAAAAATATCCCCTTTGACTAAACGGGGGCTTAATTGTTTTTAATTCCTACAGTAGGCTATGAAAGTGACATTTTTTTGTAAGAACAGACATAACAGCTCTTTTCACTGTCCTTTTAGAAAGAACTTGATCAGTTAGCACCTACCGTAGGATTCCAACTCATTGAATGAATTAAAATAGTTCTATAAGGTTTTATTTTTCAAATCCACAATTGGCCATAGTAGGGTATCCCTTATATCCAAACTCTTTTAAATCCCGTTCCCAACCCTTAGATGAACTTGTTTTACCAAAAAACTAAAAAAACCATCGTTAGATCTCCGGAAAATAACTTTTAAGGCTTCCCAAAATAATAAAAACGACTTTTTCTTAAAATAATTGATATGTGGCAAAAGTACGGAAACCATTAGAAATATCGCAAAGTAGGCTTGAAAAAAAGTTAACAAACCGCATACACAACGTACTTTTTGACGAGGAATCCAATGGTGACCTTGAATTTGACCTTGAACATAACCTCGAAGCTACAGTGACCAAAAAATTTTTAAATGAGAACCCGCATTTCTTATTGCAGATTTGAAAAAAGTGGATAATTTCACGTAAGAACATGTACTCGTTCATTTTTTTTCAAGGTCATTTTCTGTGGAACAGCACTCAAAATGAAAAAAAAAGCATAAAAAAATTGAAATTTTCGGTTTTTGTTTCTTTTCATGAGATTGAAGCTGAAATCGAGTTTTTTTTACTTTGAGTGCTGTACCTCACAAAATGACCTTGAAAAAATATGAAAGAGTACATGTTCTAACGTAAAATTGTCCGCTCTTTTCAGATCTGCATTGAAACATGAGGGTTCTCATTTGAAAAATCGATTTTTCGGTCGCTGTTGCGTCGAGGTTATGTTCAAGATCAAATTCAAGGTCACCATTAGATTCCCCGTCAAAAAATACGTTTCATAAGGTGTTTTGAAACTTTTTTTACGGTTCGTGTTATATAATCCCTCGTTTTTCTGAAAAATGTTGGGAAGTGCTATAACTTTTCTCTTTTACAGTTTAATACTTTAAATAAACATGAAAGACCCCTTTGAGTACTTAAGGGGAGGCTCTCATCTAGCGCCTCAAAAATTACATGTTTTTCGTGATTTTTTTTTTCGTAGAAGGAAGTGAATAATGCAGTCAAATTTTTTTGGTACTTATAAAGCATGTATTCAACTATATTTACAAATTTTTTCAGACCAAAATATCGAATTATTTATCGCCTAGCAGCGTTTGATGGAGGTCGTGTTAAAAAAAGATACCTCAACGGGCGGCAAGCTAGCGCCTTCAGTTTTTGCCCGAAACTAAAAATGCGAAGTTCCTCTTAAACTAGATGACATTTGCTGGAGGTTGAACCTAAATAATTGCAAAAAAATTAAAAATTGATAAAATGGTGGACTTCGGAAAAAAAATTTCTTTTTTTTGCCCTTTTTTGGCTCTTTTAAGGGATGTAAAAAGTAATAATAATGAAAAATTTTTAAATTTTATAGGTTCAACCTCCAGAAAATTTAATTAGCTTTAAAATAAAAAAAAGCGTATCTCTAAGTGCAGTACTTTTCCAGATATCTTGCCGCCCGATTCAGAAAACACAGTTTCGAGAAAAACGCGTTTAAAGTTTTAGAAAGTGAATGTACATACATACATACATCGTTCCCTCGTAAAAAGACAGCTTCGGTTTTTTGCCTATAACTTTTTAACTAGATCGATTTTGATAAAAAGGGTTTCGGGGGTGTATTCTACGGGACATTTGCTATCTAAATAAGCAAAAAAAAAATCGATTTTTTGATCGAGTCACCTGAGAGCCTTCCCTTAATAATTTTGTTCGATTGGAAAGAAATTTTATTTTTATCGTGTAACACATTTCATGCCTAAAAAATCGTTTATAATTTTTTGAAAATGTTCGAAATAGTTTAAACTGCAACTCAACTTGAGTTGCAGCAATCAATTGAGCATTAAAAAAAGAGGATGATTATAAAAACCTACCATTTAAGTATACAATTGTTTTCACAGGTTCACCTTCAGCAAAACAACAGTCTGGATTTTTATTAATTCCATAAATATTCATTCAGATTTTTCGAGGTTGTGTCAACTTCTCAGAAAGTACCTGATATAGATTTAAAACATTCATGAAATGGATTGTGAAAAGATATTGGCCAAGTATCTTGTACCGCAGTGGATATGAATTGAATACTTCTTTAGATATACGCGTCATGAGCTTTTGCATGGGAAATTTTTGCACAATTTTGTATTATAAGTAGATAAGTGTATATATGTATTTTTAAGTATATACATTCATGGATAGTCCATGAAATAAGCGTTCATTTTGGTATATATAATAAAATTTATCATTCTTAAGTTTTTAGCAATAAATTATTCAATATTACTTGTATATGCTACCCTGAAAACATTTTTTGCAACTCATTGTCACTAAACGATATTAAAAATGATAACAGTATGTAAGCAGTTAATTTATGACTCGGAGAATCTAGGTAAAATTTTTCTAACATTTTTTAAATTTAATAGACAATCGTAATAATTTGTGATTTAACTTTTCGAACGAAAAAATTCTAAAAGTTAGTAGTTTGCTTGAATGGCTGTTAAAAAATGTTTACACATCAATTCATGGTTAAAAATAAAATATTAGTAGGTTATAAAAATAGTTATTTATGTAACATATTAGTTGACGATGCATACTAAATAAGCCCAAACCAAAAGCATAAAGCCTACCGCTTCCTGAAGTAGCTTGTCAAAAGTCAATCAAGCTATCTTAAACACACAATAATGTATATGTGGTACGTGTTCACGTGTCGTGTATTTGGGTCTTGTGCGTGGCCATCTTGTGAGTCAGTTATTTCCGACTTGGATGTTCGCACGAGAGCAAGCGAGATAGCGTGTGCCGAATTGGTCGTGTGTGACCAAGTTATGCGACTGCGAGGGCAAGCAGCTTAACGGCGCGTAGGCTGTACTTTGTTGAGAATCGAGTCGACAGCGTGCAGTGCAATAATGCGGCACTCCATTGGAACTTAGTTTGGGCTAGCTTCGTTACGTGCACGTTTTTTCCTTGGACGTATTTTCGATGAGTTTGACGATGGTAGACGAAAGGATTGTAGCATGAAGAAATAACGAGCAAAAGCGAATTAAAGCGTGGTTGAAGAATTGAGTGTTTGCATGAGATTTGAAAGAGCTGTGATAAAGAAAAGGAAGTTTATTTGTGTGCAAAAGTACATCCTCGCGTAGTTATCTATAGCGACCCTCTTTTTTATTTTCAGCATTGGATTGTCAAAGCTCGCTGTGCATTTAGTGGCAGCTCGACTCCTTCTGAGGTAAGATACTCGGATGGGCTATCCGGAGCCTCGGTAAAGAAATAATAAGACTATACTCGCTACGCTCGGGCTGCAAACTAACATTCTTCCAAGATAGACAACCCCGCGCCTCAGTTACGTACATTATTTTTCATCGTCGAGTGCAGGAAGTCGATATTAAGATTTTCTTGCACGACGCAGCGTGCAGGAAGTGCTATTCCCGCACGCCATGTTCTTATCGATATAATGCATTGCAGAGGGATCAATGGTCGCAAAATCGCAAAAAATATTCTTGAGAGCTTGCACAACATGGTGAGCCCAAATTGGCTTGCTCCTAGTTGTGCTCATCGTGAATTTTGTGGGCATTTTTAGATAAATAAACTAACTCAGAACTAACTCGGGAGAGAACTTTCGCAAAGCTGTTATTTTCGTTTCGTTTCGTTTATATATTAATACATTATATATATCAATATATCACGATATATCACTATATTTATATATGAATACATTAAATATATCAATATGTCACGATATTAACATATATCACGATATTTCACTATATTTATATGGCCGATTCTCTGTCAACTCAACCGGTCAAAATTTTTTTTCTGTATCTAATACGATGAAAACATAGTTTGGAATGTCAGGAATGTACAAAAAAATTTATAGAGCGATTGGGGCTTTCTATCACCCTCAATCGAATTCCAGAGTTGGCCTTTTTCGCATTTTTCCCCAATTCATCGAAGATCGTAAATATGTCATTAAGCTGTAGCTCAGTGTAGAATGACTCAAAAGTAAAAGTGCACACTGGCTTTTTTGTTGAAAATCGTCTAAATTTTCAGAAAAATGGGTCCTGAAGCGATCTGAGCACTCTGAAGGCTTTTACAATAGAATTAACCAAGAAAAAACAAAAAACACGAAATCTAATTAAGTATGATCCGGACTTTCCTTTCTATAACTATTTAAAAAGCTTCCTCAACATGTCAACTGCTCCCTTGTAAGTTTTTATAATAGTTTGAGCCTTGGTTTGCCCTGAAGACCCTTATATGTGTCGAAAAACGTGCAAGTAAGGCCCCTTAAGCAGAGTGTCGCCTTAGATTTTTACACGTTACACGTGCTAGGCAAACTCAAACCTCAAACATAAGTACATAAACTTAAAGAGCATGAAATTACCTTTAATTTGGTGTATATAAAAAGTCTCTAAGTCCTCTAGAACCGAAGATACAGCTGTTTGAAATTTCACTAAGAATTAAAGCATAAAATCTGTCATTTTCATACACCAGTTGACATGATACTTGAACGTTTAGTAAAACTTCAAATAGCTGTATCTTCGATTCTAGAGGACTTAGAGACTTTGAACATACACCAAATTAAAAGTCATTTTGTGCTGCTGTTGAGTGCTAATGTTTGAGGTTTGAGTTTGCCTAGCACATGTAACATGTAAAAATCTAAGGCAATACTCTGCTTTAGGGGCCTTACTTGCACGTTTTTCGACACATACAAGGGTCTCCAGGACAAACCAAGGCTCAAACCATTATAAAAACTTACAAGGGAGCAGTTGACATGTTAAGGAAGCTTCTTAAATTGTTATAGAAAGGAAAGTCCGGATCATACTTGATTAAATTACGTGTTATTTATTTTTTCTTGGTTAATTCTATTGTAGAAGCCTCCAGAGAGCTCAGATCGCTTCAGGATCCATTTTTTGTGAAAATTTGGACGATTTGCAACAAAAAAGCTCCCGCGCACTTTTACTTTTTAGTCATTCTACACTTAGCTAGAGCTTAATGGAATATTTGCGATCTTAGATAAATTGGGGAAAAATGCGAAAAATGCCAACTCTGGAATTCTGAAAAGGGTGATGAAAGGCCCCAATCGTTCTATAAATTTTTTTGTACATTCCTGACATCCCAAACAATGTTTTCATCGTATTAGATATAGAAAAAAAATGTTTACCGGTTGAGTCGACAGAAAATCGACCATATATTAATTCATTAAATATATCAATATATCACGATATATCCCGATATATCACTATATTTATATATTAATACATTGAATATATCAATATATCATGATATATCAACATATATCACGATATATCACTATATTTGCACACACATCTGCCTATATGTATATTCCTCTAAGAAAAAAACTTTTTTTTCAACTATTAATATACCTCCTCCGCCTTCTCAATGCTCCTCATTTTTGAAAAAATAGCATTTTCCCGTGTTTTTTGGCCTCCTAAGTGTTGTTTTTACGTGTTTTTTGAACCTCATAATTACTCCTCAAGTGATCCTCCTTCCGTACCTCTTTTGTTCCTCCTCTCGCTCTTCTTTATTCCTCCTCCTACACTCCTCCTATACCTTATTTACTCCTCAATTGCTTCTCAATTACTCCTCATTGGCTCGACAAATTGTTTGTGTACTTAAAATTTAACAAAAATCTTTTAAATTTTAATGATAATATCGGTTCCACACCACCTTAGAGGTAATATTATATCTTTTCTACACCACCTATGAATAATGTTAATTCAAGTTTTATTCTACGCTATTTTTTTGCCATAAAATTGTAGCGTTGAGTTTAACCTGTGATAACAATATTCAAGAGGTAGATATATCGTCGCGTTTTTTTTAAGTGGTTCCCCTTAATTTACTTTAATCCTGTTCCTAATTTTTATAGGAACTTTATCATTCCTTATTTCTTTATGATCATTTAATTAATAATGATAAAATATAATTTCTAATAATTTTTAATTTTGCACCTCTACTCCAATATATTTTAGCCAATGACTCTTTGGTTAAAATAACATTCAATTTATAAAGTCGTTTCTGGTAAGACTATTTTTATTTTTATCGTGTCGCTAATTTTTATAAGAATTTTCTCATTCCTTATTTATTCTTTATAATCATTTAATTGATGATGATAAGATATAATTTCTAATAATTTAAAATAGATATAATCTAATAATGGTGAACGCATTTTTTTACTTCACTAAAGTGATGTGGATTAGGCCTTTAAATTTTTTCAATTATTTTATTTATTATATTATAATTAGTCGATTAAAATAATATATGTTACACAAAATAAGTAAAATACATTATTTAACTAAATTATTTATAATAAATATTACTGTTCAAAGAATTTATGGGGTAACCACTTTATGTCAGAGGGCCTTTCTCCATAGCGCAATCGGCGCGGGGCTCGAGACGTCCCTGAGTTCCCCCAAGCACCGCATGAGTGCGTACGTGATTGATGTCTGCGCTGCGATCGCACATCTCGCACGCATGTCGATGCCTGTCCGACTGCCTACTCTCACTACTAGATATCCCTTGGCCCAGTAGAGACGCATCGAGTCCTATCGTTCCAAAGTTATCTTTCGAGTTATTTTTCAATAAAGTTTTTCTTCATACATCAAAAATAGGCCCAAAATGCCTAAAATCACCAAAAACAGCCATTTTCAGTCCTTTTTTGCATGTTTTTCGCCACACATTGTTGTCTACATTGCGTTAAACTTTAAGACCCATTACAAAACTTTATCAGGCATTAGTTGACATCTTTGGGAAGCTTTTTACATAGTTTAGGAAATAAAAGTCCGTTTCGAACTCGATTAGATTTCATGATTTATGTTCCTTTTGCAGTTTTTTTGCTTTACACTTACCTAGATTGTTCCAATCACTTTGGCATATTTTTTTTCTGAAAATTTGGACAATTTCCAACAAAAAAGTTGCTGGGCACTTTTACTTTTGAATCATTCTACCCTGATCCAGGAATTATTTGAATATTTGTGATTTTTCATGAATTTCAAGAAAACCCTAAAATGGCCAACTTCGGGCCCCTGAAAAAGAGTGATAGATGGTCCCAAAAATTCTAATAAAATTTGGGGACATTTCTGACATGGGGAACAGCAAGTTTTTCATATTTGCAGAAAAAAAATTTTTTGGCCATTCGAT